ACACTGTAACAACACAACCTTGATAACAACTGTACACTACTGTTACATGTATTTAACCTGAACCCGTCCGGACATTTAGCGCACATTGTAACAACACAATCTTGATTACAACTTTACACTTCTAATATATAACATGAACCCGTCTGGACATTCAGCGCACACTGTAACAACACAACCTTGATTACATCTATACACTACTGTTATATAACATGACCCCGTCCGGACATTCAGCGTTATCCGTAACGACACAACCTAATTATAACTTTCTGAACAATAAGCGATCAGAGTTACAACGCTGATTTTAGATTTGTATTACCTCCTTTAATTTGAGCCGGTATTCATGAACCCGTCCGGACATTTAGCGCACACTGTAACAACACAACCTTGATTACAACTGTACACTACTGTTATATAACATGAACCCGTCCGGACATTCAGCGTTATCCGTAACGACACAACCTAATTATAACTTTCTGAACAATAAGCGATCAGTGTTACAACGCTGATTTTAGATTTGTATTACCTCCTTTAATTTGAGCCGGTATTAACAATAAGTGTTTTCCTGTAACATCGCTGATTACAGGTCTGTGCTTTCCCCATTTAGTTGGAACTCGTCTGGATAGTCAGTCACGGAAGCACACTAATTATAGGTTTTTGCCATCCAAATTAACTTAGACCGTCTGAATAATTAGTGTTCAATGTAACAGTCAAAGTTGTAGGCCTTTATTACCCTCATTTAGTGTGAAACCGTCTGAACAGTAAGTGTTTGCTGTAAAACATTCAGTTAAACTGTGCGCTACCCACATATAATGAAAGTAGGTCAACAACAACCTAGGAAATAATGATAAGCACACTGACCTATTTTGGTAGGGGTAAGTTTAGAAAGGGGCGGTATGTTTCTGCTCAGGAAATGAAATATATGATCGGGAAATATACGTCGTCCCGTTTGTTATATAGTTTGTTAGATCGACGACCCTTATTTTCATACATGTGATGTCAAGCTATTAAACTAAATATGAATAAATGGATGGGAAAAAAGTGGAACATAGAACATATGGGACGATACTTTAATCTATATGTAGAAAATACAGCTTATTAAACAACACAGGAGAAATCGCGTTTTAACCATTATTGAAAATGTCTGATAGTTCCACATTTATGTAAACAAAACAAATTACAACAAAAAAATAAAGGAGGCAGGCAATTGGTACATTGATATATTGCCAGTGTGTTTGAGAAAATAGCCATAAAACAATGGTATATTACCTGCAACAAGTTTTACGAGCAGAATGAAAATACAAAACTGTGCTGGTGCCGCCATGTTTAATCCTTATCTTGTACGCCTCAAGTAGGGCACCTCAGTACAATCATATTATGACATATTCCATCAAAGTTTCATTACTTTAAATAGAATATTCGTATATGACTCTAGTCTTTGTTATCTGGGGCTACCTTGGGTTTCTGGTACACTGTATTGACATTTGAATTTAGTGAAACATTTGTACTATGTGTTCACATTATTTTTTTCTAGTTCGTTGTTATTATTTTGTTTTACAAAAAGTGCCAAGAGAATATAAAAGTGTCATCTATATCGTACTCAAAATCAATTAAACTAGGATCAAGATATGATCATTATACATTTACAGTTCTACATAAGTTCAAATAATACATGTAAACAATATACCTATATAAAATAGCTATATAAAGGCCTAATCGTATAATCTAAATATTTATAAACACATGTGTGCTTCGAATTTACAGCTGTGTCAGTTGACGTGCTTAACAGCTTTTCGTTTTTTTATTTTTGTTTTTGTAAATTGTAATGAAATGTACAATGAAGATTTGTGTGTCAGTTTTTTCTCCAATATCCGATAACTGTCACTGAAGGAATACCATTATTAATATAAAGCACCTACGAGTAATTTTGCAAGTTTTAAAGGGCGCTATATTAATATTGGATATTATTAATATTATAAATTGTGCATGTTGACATTTAATTTGACATTTAGACAAAACAGATTTACTATATTCTGGAATAAAAGAAACCTTGCAGTATGGACTAATGACAGCAGAACAAATATGCTATAGGAATCTGCTAGTGTTATCAACCATCTAGCGACAAACCCTAATTTGATTATTTCATACATTCATTCGTTTTAACGGCACATACTTTTTTGTTATATATATTTGTATTGGTAAATACTCATTGACTGCTCATACAAATATTATATGCTGGTTTTTGAACAAAACACATATGATTTAATGGTCATCTTGCTAACCTACTTTTGAAGTGCTTTATTTATGATAAAAATGGCAGCTAAACGGATATAAACGATTGTTTATTTGAAAGGATTATGCATCGATTTGGTTTAGTTGACTTTTAATACGAGGGCCACTTAAGTTGGTCAACACACGTGTGAGCGGCCACACATCATCCTTGACCTGTAACGGATCTGTCGAGGTTTGATTGGTCGCGTCACGTGACCTAGGACTATCTACGTCAGGTAATATAACTTACAGTATAGTACATTTATAGGAGAAACGTGATGAATGTTATATATATATGACTTCTCAGGTCTTTACTGACGGTTTATACACAGTAACACCATAGTATACTATATAAAACACAACAAGACCCCTGTTATTGCGAAGACATAGTACATGTTTGAGAAAGAAAAAAAAATATTTTGAAGGTTGCAATATGAAGCAATTAACGCCAAAACTATAATTAAATCTGCTAGCATGACTTTGCAACAAGAAGCAATCAACGGTATATGTACTTTATGAAGATGCATTGCCGAAGGTTTGAAATATTTGCTAACAACAATGAACTTTATCATACCATCTTGCACAGACACAAATAACTTCTTTATGCAAATTATACACCCTACCTACTCGGTCATTACTGGCTCGCCTAGGTCAATTATCATTTTGCGCTGTCAGTAGTGCTCAAATAATTATATGTAATATCGGATGCGACTCCTTGTGGAAGGAATTTCAAAAACAAAAGTGATATTTTGTACATGGCAACCACGTAAAGACTTTATTCGTTAATCTCCTTTTCGTCAATAGCATTTTTGGACATTTTCTTACAGTATGACAATAAACGTCTTCTCATTACAACGCTTTATGAAGAACGTGACGATTTCTAATTTACGATATTTCTATTCCTCTTTAATAACATATATAATAAGTCTTATTATGAGTTCTGTGTCTCCCATGATTTAGACCCTTTGTCGTAGAATGTACATATGTCTGTTGTACATGCCCCTAGTGGCCCAGGCCTATCGTTAGAATTAAACACGCTGAAACATGTACAAAAAACAAATACAGCACCTACAGAATAGAAACGATTATCAGGATCTCGTTTTTTTTATAGAGCAATGTTTTATTTTTATTTTTCAAGTATACAAATAAACTTTGATATTGTGTAGTTTGTCAATATGTCCGTTGTATTGTCTTATGAACATTATGCTACAGTTAAAAATGAATTATACAGCGTATGGTACAGCGATAACGTTGCCAGACTGTCGGACATGACATAGCAATATACATAGCAATATATAGCCAATGTATGCATTTGCGTTTCCACACACATGCTTTGTTTCCGGTTTCGTTTATAAATGTTTGTAATCTAAGATCATGACCCATGTCCCAGTTTTAACATAACTAGTATCTACACATGTCGACTAAACACAGAAATAGTAATCTATGCTATTCTAGGTGACCTACTTTTAATAGTGTTTGGACCTTACTCTGGTGGTAGTTATTGTCCCTTTTTGTGTCAGATTTCTCGATAAGGTTTCAGAGTAATTGATTGTTTTCAAGGGCACACATGGTAAGCATATCCCTATACCATATATGTGTCGCCATAAAGATAACTGTTTGCGTGCAAAAAACTCATTACATACAATAACATTTGAAAATGTATAACGGGCACCAAAGGGATAAGCTTTGGTAGCTTTCAATGGGAATGTTGAGCAAAGAGGTTCCTCTTGCACAGCCACCAAAGTTTAACAATACTTACAAAAATAATTCAGAAGAAGTTATTTAAGGTCTTTTGGGCAGTCATCATTGTCAAACAATGGGAGATAGAATGGTAGCGCTAGATTAGAGAGGTATCTTTGGACAGCCGCTTATATATTTTTAAATCACGTTATGACTTAACGGTTGAAATAGCTGTGTAATTATTGTAGCATATGTTTGTCAAAAGGATTTTTCTGACGTTAGGATATCATTTCTAATACTATTATTGTCATTATCTAAAACTGTTATATATACAGTGAAAGCAAAAAGGTTTGTCAAAAGAATCACAAAATGCACCAAACAAACCAGAAATCAAAGGAACAATGATTTTATTTTCAATATTATCAGTAACATCAATTTCAGTGCCTTTCGTTCTAATTTTTAATAATCCGATTTCGTCCTGTAAAAATCGAGAAAAAAACAACAAACGTGTGTAATATACTGATCGGATCAAAAAGGTACCTCAGATGTGTCACACGTTGATATGATTTAGAAAGCTACATTGACACACACGTGTCACATACTTATATGATAAAGTAGCGAAAATACTTGTATCAACTGTTAAAATGATATATATGACGTGGTGAAAAGATCTAAAGTTTGTCTTAAAGACGTTTGATGGTACATACTTTGACACGGGAAACAAAATAATGTATCAACGGAAACAAATCGAATTTTAAAGAAAGATATTAACTTATCGAAGGAACCATTAGACATGTAGTATTCGATACATCTTCAATTGGTATTGTGTAAAAAAAGTATCAGGCTGATTAATATAAGCATTTTGTTATCATTACTAAATATCATATTGAGTAGGGCGGCACTAGTACAATGGCCGTCACTCAATGGTCTTCGATGCTGAAACACAAACAGGTACAATGTTTTCTCTCATTTCCCTGTGTGTAAGATACAGCTGTTAAGGGTAAGAGAGGGGTTTAGGAAATTTCTCTCTTACACCCCATTTCAAGTGACGTGACGTCACAAGGCCTCAACAATAACATGACATCACGAATTTATAACTCTCCTATGCCGCAATGCAGAACCGGCGACGTGATGAAATTAAAACATTTTACGATATATTTACCGTACACGATAGAAAGATTTTTCTGCGGAAACATTGCTTGCAAATACGATATATGCTAAATCTGGCTGGCTGATTCATTTTTGTCTAAAGGGGAAAAATTGATATTTTTTTAAAATGGTGACCAGTCCAAACGCATTTTCATGGTTTCTGAGCTTATTCTGCTGGTTGGAATAAGGGAAAAATACTCCATCATGGACAAGGGTGTAGGATAGGGAAATTCCACCATCGGGTTTTTTAAATTGGGCAAAACCCTCGGCAAAGCAGGATGTTTATTCCACCATACGAATGTACGCTGGATATCTCTTTTTTAAATAATTTACAGACCTTACAGACATACAAAAGTCCACGTGATGTCAACATCGATGTGTGACATAGAAAGTAAAATCACCCTTTAAAAGAAAAACGATGGGTACAAAACATGTCAATGAAAACTGATACTCTGATAAACAATGCAATCAATAACCCGGAGCCTGTTCCGTTCCATAACTTACATCATCTCACACAGGAAGTGCTTCTCCTCTTCACATCCGTTGTCGTTACACTGCCAGTTGCGTTTCTATGACATTTCAGCGCAGTGTTCTTCGTCGTGGATACTGTCGTCGCCGCCATTGTCTGGATTACTGTTGTACCAGTTGGTATAGTTGATGGTCTCCGTGGTAACTGCCCACTTCCAGTACCCCTCAGTTACAATGTCGTTAGCTACGACCCAGTACTCGTGATGTTTTCTACTGCCATACTACTACATAGAAAGATTAATACGCTGACCAGCTATAACTCACTTAATCGAAAGCGTAAATCTGGTTCACTTCGTTTTTGTCAAAATGTTTTTTATCCAAACTCAAGAAGTCAGGACACCATTAAAAGAAAAGAAACAAACAAGTCCTGTGTTCTTAATAACTTCACTGGTGATCGGTTATTAATGTTGAATATGATGCTAAAATGAGTTAAAACCGAAATCAAATCTGCACTGCAGTAAACACGTATCTGGACGCTGATATTGGACACATACTAACGATCATGTATAGAAGCTAGGTATCCCTCCACGGCTGTCTGCTCCTCCTAGGATCCAATATTAGCTAGCTCAGCACCAAACACCTCGCCTACAAATATTTCGAACAATAACTTCAATGACAGGACGTCATGCATCATTTGAAATGTCGATTAATTGTGGCGTAACGACAAAAGGGCATCATTTCAATATGACATCATAAGCAAGAGCTCGCGAATAAACTGTTTTGAAATCAATTAAAAGACTGCGAAATGGATATTATATTTTGTGGAATTGTTATCGAACACTTCTTCAAAACAATTGTCTTACATATTCGCTGACAAAGTATGCAAAAATAACGACAAAAGGAAAATAATAAAATAAAATAAACGATATTGTGCAACATTAAGATAACATACCAATGCCTCGGACCATGTTGTAGCTGATTCCTTGATGCCCTTTGTAGCAGTATCCGGCCAGGTATACAAATTAATGTGTGCAAGTAGGCAGAGGCAGTGTTGAACTAGGCACACTAGGCATTGAGGTTACCAAAAGCAACATTCACATAAACGCATAAGAAATGTATGGATGTAAAAAACACACCTGTATATTCAACATTTATGTGTTTATTCACTTTATGCACAATTCTAAGATCAGAAAAGTATGATATGGTGTTTTACCTGATGGTCCAAAATCGAGGGTGAAGTTGTTTCCACGTGTTTGTGCTTTACCTGCTGCTATTGCAGTTGTAATGGATAGAATATATTTTCATAAGTTTGCAAATATAGTCTCTCACTGGAATTTCGGCATTTGCATTCAAAGGTGGAGTTTATTTTATATATCATGACAAACACATATTTTTTGCATAGAGTTACTTAGTTAAGTTTTAAATCGTGACAATCAATAATCAACCTGTTGGTTACAATAATTTTTGTTTTATCAAGATACGTGAATGTATTACGGTGCAATATTTTAAATGTGTGAGAAAATGTTGACAAAAGTAAATGAAGACTGCTTCAGCCTGATTTCATTATTTTACAAATGTTTTCTAATCCTGATTTATATATCCCACCATAGTATACAAACATGTATTGATTGCATCTATTCTACCATGTGAAAATTAAATTAACGTAAATTAAACGTACGTTCTTTTCTTCAGAAATTGTGACCAAGAGCATCCTTTTGCTTAAATTGTGCATATCTTCTGCGCGTGAAAACATTTGTCAAATGAGGAAACTGATGTATGGTGTGCACATGCACGCGTGTCCCCTTCCTAAAAAAGGAAAGAAAACAAAACAAGTCTCTCACGGGCCCCTTATTTGCATTTTCAGTACACAAGAGATTTGTAAACGCATTGTACACTCATGGTGTTCAGGGCAAGCAAACATGCATGCAAATGCTTGGTATATTATACCAATACTACATGGATATCAACTAATACCTCATATCGTTATTTTGTCAACGTGGTAGATTTAACAATAGATATACATCCTTATCGGAAAATTGAAATCAGTTTCATGCATGATTTTCAAACTGATAAGAAGACAATTTTTCTGTGACAAATGGAAATGGGAAGACATGTTTACACGGACGTCATTTGATATATGTCGTGAATACTTACCCACGAACAAAGCAACTGCCAGCAAACTTCTCATTAGCCATGTCATAGTTGCTGCTTGATTTTTTCTCCTTAATAAATTCTTTCTGAATATTAATCATTTGAATAGCTAACAATAGTGATGCGTTATCTACATATGCCTGCTCACATCGAAGGTAAATATTTATCTTCAAGGGGCTAGCTGGTTTGCTTGGAGAAAGTCATCTCATATTTAAAAGGATATTATCATAGTGTTCACGACATATATCTTCGATTTTTATTACTCTTATCTAGTTTAACCCCCAAAACAATTTGTTAATGTTAAATGTATGCATGTAAAACAAAAATTTCATATAGATTTGGATAGGTACTTTTGGGAGCTAATGAGGAGTTAAACCTCTTGGGTGGGGGAGGGGGGAGAGGGGGAGTCAATTTAACACATTACATACATAATAATGCAGATTAACAGGTGTCTTATACCCATAACTATCTACAATGTCACGCGGATCTCCTCGGCCGATTTGGTCATCTTCGATGGAAGGAACTGTAATCGGGGCGAGATGTTCCGAATGTCTACAATGTATGAGTTTTAGAGTTAATAGTATATCAACGGAGAATTAAAATTGTGACTGAATCAATTAACGTAATCAAACAAAATAAAACTCAGAGAACAATATCTGTTTTTTTTTATTTTTAAATATCAATTGTAAAAAAAATGAAAACTTCATTTTAATCTTCATTATCAATTTTCCATCCTGTAAAATAAAGAAGAAAATTCTTGAAACAAACATGTTTATATGATAAAGCAGGGAGAAGACACATGTTACTACTGTAATGATAATGTAGGGTACACACTTGTGTATTATATTGATCTAATTAAGTTGGACACACGTGTTTTGCACATTATACAAGTATGTCCCATCTTTACTTCACTATGTATTTCACGGGAACATTTACATTTTTTGATCTGATAAATTATTTAAGGAACATATGTGTGTCATATATTGATGATAATTAGGGAACACATTGTGTCATATATTGATATTATGAAGTAGGAAATTTTGACACGGCGTAGAATAAAAGTTTGTGATAATAAATAAAAAAATCATGATAGAAAATACCATGACAGCAGCAACAATAACTGTATTTACTCTGTGTTTTAATAAGAATTTAAAGATCTGATATAAATCACGTAATCGTAGAGATAAAAATATATACTATTCTATAAACCCTTTGTGGGTATATGATATAAATCACGTAATTGTAGAGATAAAAATATATATTATTCTATAAACCCTTTGTGGGTATTATCGTAAAACTTCTAAAAACTGTAACAGTAAATAAATACAAATTATTTTAGTATCATTACTAAATACCTAATATTGTTAATTTACCTTCAAATAATTAGGCACCAGTGCAATGGCTGTGAACTAGTTTTCTTCATTACTGAAACAGAAGTCAGCATCATGTTATAACATTTACTAACGATAAGGTAAATGACATGTTAGCCTATGGTGGCTGTAAGCCATTGTCACTCTTTATATTCAATAGGACTAATTGTTATACCATGGACGTTCGTTCCTGAATCATGCTGTTATGAAATGGTCCATGTGATGTCAACAAGGACATCATTAAAAGTGGAGCTTTCTTTATATGAACTATCGATAGATGTGCGACATGGTGATAAACAAATATATTTTTTCTAAAAAATCAAACGTTTGACCGGTTGAACCAGTTCTATTCTGCACGTGTCTTTGTCGCTTACATCATTTCACACAGGAAGTGCTTCTCCTCCTCACACCCATTGTCGTTCCACTGCCAGCTGTGTTCTTCTGACATTTCCGCGCAGTGTTCCTCGTCGTAGTCCTTGTCGTCGCCGCCATTGTCTGGATTGCCGGGCCGCCAGTTGGTATAGTTGATCGTCTCCGTGGTAACTGCCCACTTCCAGTCCCCCTCAGTTACAAAGTCGTTAGCTCCGAACCAGTACTGATGATGATCGGTACTACCATACTCAGCTGCAAAGAGAGGTTGCTCACTTAATAGTTAATGAGCGAGTGACATTGATCAAAACCATCTACAAGTTATTGTCCTTTTTCTTAAACTGGTTTGCAGGACATGTGTTGTCCTGACAGCATTCCACATGGATTGCACAGAATAAACACAAACACATGATTTATATGTACAACACAAAAAGTGAGAAAACTATGCAAATATACTATATATAAATAAAAAAATATGTATGCCATGTAGCAATGTTCATAGGTACAAAAACATTTTTGCATTTAATGCTAGAATTATCTAGAAACCGAACCAGATCGCAATATATGCCAACTAAAACAAAGCCATTGCATAAGTTGATCCACCCGCTATGGTCGTCCGCATACTTACGATCATGTAAAGTCTTTAGGTATCCTTCCACAGCTGTCTGCTCCTGCTGGGATTTAATGATAGCTAGCTCGGCCCCGAATACCTCACAATAAGCCTACAACCACCACAACAAAGACAACACGTCATATTTCATTTGGCACGTTAGTTTTTTGCGATGTAAGGCTACAGAGGCATCCTTTTATTGCTAAATCATTGTCTAAGTCCTGTCAAAACAACGTTGTGAGATCAATCAATGAAATGTATGCACATGTTTGTGTTATTGGGATTGAAGAGATTGATATGTTTTTCTTCAAACCTACACTGACTTACAAATTGTAGCTCATTTTGATTGAATGTTGAAAAATAAACAATATTCAACTACACTGATTTGCCGTACCAGTGCCTCAGGCCATGTTGCGGACACCTTGATGCCTTTGTAGCAGGATCCGTCTAGGAGAACGAATGAGTGGGTGCAAGTAGGCGGAGGCAGTGTTGTACTAGGCACAACAGGCATTGGGGTTACTAAAAACGAGAAAAGGTACATGTATCAAGCAACATGCATACTGTTTTGCAACTTCTCTTATTGGAGGTATACTAGGGTATCACCAATGACTGAAATAAATCAATAATGACAATCCATAGGCAAAATGTGTGTTCATCAACTTGTCTGCGATACGAATAAATTTTCATCTGCAATACCGGTACCTTAGTACACGCTATATGTCAGCCCAATCCGTCATGCTACACCTCTCTGCTCGCTCGATAGTCCTAACTTTACTTTATCACCTGATATTTAATTTAATTCTGGCCTGATACGAATCTTTCGACTACGTGCCGTGAGTGGTACAAAATTTGGTACATCTATGAAAAAGATATCACATGGACATTCCATATTCTTATTATATCAACTTTCTACCGGTATAACTGAATCCCGTTAAAGTTTCGCTGCAGTTTTAATTACACTTGTTTGCTCTTCGAAATGAAGGCTAAACCATTATTACAGCGAACATTTGTAAACAAACATCATAAACAGTGATCAAATGTGAGGTGTGAATTTAATATTGGGTGAAAATGGATTTTACCTTCGCAGGCGATTTGACTGAGCAAAACTTTCCCGTATACAGTATCCTTCGGGATTTACGGCAGACACGGGGTCTCAAGCTGCTATTGAGTGGGGTATGGAATTAAAAATGATAAACTCTAAAGTCTGATCAAGACATTGATATATAAAGTCGGTCGTCCTTCATGTTGTTACAAATGTATTTATTTGTTTTACTGACCAGGACTTGATTATCTGGCCAAATACTATTGATGCGAAATAACACTACAACAAGAATGGGTATTTATCGTTTGTTTAGATAAAGGCCTCGCGATCAAATTGAATATATGCTCCAATATGAAATATCGTCATAAAAATAGACGATTTAAATATAATGAGCCTTGTTGACAAAATGTATGCCGCAAAAAAAACAAAAAAAATGTAATTTGATTACAGTATAAGAAGGAAAACTCAACGACAGGACCATTAGAAGATTTTAAATACATATCAGTTACTCAATGCTATTGTGTATCAGTGTGTTTAACCGCTACTACTGATGCAACAAAGTTTGTAATGTGTTCATTCTCGTGCACAAATATTTTTCTGTGGAAAAGAGGCCCGCCTTATCATCGCCTTAACATTAACCTTACTGGTATAGCAGAAATATGTAAAAATTCCATAATTACAAAACTAACGAAATTTTAAAAAGAGTTTACATATGTAATGGACGGAGTGTAAATAAACCAGTTGTCAGACAGGATGGGACAGACGTAATCGTAACATTATAAAACACATATACGGAAAACGGATCTGTTTTCCGGAACTTTATACAATGAGTTGACAGATTATCGTAAGAGATGAGGATATTGCACCTGTGGCAATATCACCTTGAGTGGGCAAGGGTTATCTTACCAGCCTGACTCAGTCTAAACTACCTCACACATAAGATATTTTGCTACCTGCTGAAAATGACAATGGCTAATATTTCTTTGTAATCTCGTTATGTATTGGCATATACTTGTAACTGTACTTATTCATGATATGAAAAGGGTATGAATTTTAATTTAATTAGATAGTTTGAAAGCCGTTAATAATTATATCTACGAACTATCAAGCAATGTTTACCTGGTGTTCCCATGTCGATGGTGAAATTGTTCCCAAGGGCTTGTGCTTTACCTCTTGCTTATACATTTGAAGAAGAAAAAACATACTTTAATGCCTCAGAAAATTTTGCCTTTCCCTGAAATTGATGTTATTCACATAGTATTTGTTTTTGCTTCATGAAAGTATTTCTTAGGTGAACAATGATCAATCCCTTGATTATATAAAATATAAACATTTGTACATTTACAATAGTGGAATAAATAGTTAGGTAGAAAAAAATATCGGAAAAATTAAAACCTGCTTTTGCCGGAGTTTATTATTTTTCCAGCTTATTCTAATCCGGGGTTTAATATTCCACCTTTACATACAAACTAACGCTGATTACATTTATTCTACGACCGGGTTATCGTAACTTCAGTGTCTTTAAGGTAGGGTGACATTTTATTTAAATAATATTGTCCTGATACGCGTGTTTTTTGTCTTTATTTCAATAAAAAAAAACAGCGTTCATATGATGTCATAATTCGTCCCGCTGCAAAAAATGGTTGTGTTCAACGCAGACGTATGTGTAAATGGATATCTATGTACATGAACACGTGCTCCCATACTCTTAATCGACAACGCCAATGCAATACACTAAAGTCACTCATGGTTGAATCGCAACATTTTCAAATATTTACAGAGCAAGATGAACGTGCAAAGCTTATTAATTGATACAGTAATACATATTATTAACCAACGAAACACGTATTGTTACATCTTCGTTTGTTTCATGGATGAATTTGATAAGAAGTCATAAGTTTCCTATGACAAATGTTAATGAGGAGACACGGGTGGTATTAGATGTGTGCCGTGAGTTCTTACCCAATATCAGAATTACTGCCAACACACTCTTCATCATCCAAGTCATTATTGTGGTCTTAATTTGTCCCCTTAATGAATTCTGTCTGAATGTTGTTCATATGAATAGCTGACACTACGTGGTGCGTTATCTACATATGTCTGTTCACATCCAAGGTAAATATTTGGCTTAAAGTTGATAGTTGGATTGTTTTGAGAATGAAATAATAATATCTAAATACCAATGTATCGGGTTTTGATTAAATTTAGGTAAACTTATGTGGACCACAAAACACTGTAACAATAAATGTATTTGATGAAGTAACCATTTTATTAAAATATAATGAATGACTTTATTTTGTTTATAAAAAAACACCAAAAAACACCCACACACTACAACATCTAAGAGGATATAAAAGACTGAAAACGAAGTGAGGAGATATAAAATAAAGAACAATGAACTATAATGAACAACGTTTAAAGTTAGGCCAGGATTTCTTTCTGCTGTTCCTATACCACACATGACACTCAGCATGGTATCTCTTGTCAAATCTAGGACAGCACGTCAGTCACCAAGCACAGGTTCCACTTACTTATGATCGACATCATACTTTAGAAATTCCCAATGTTGTTTTACTTCATTAAATGTTCAAACCGACAATTTATAACGGATATAATATGTTTGGATAATTTCATGTCAAGTGAGATCCAGCACGGAGTGAAAATAAACCAGTTGTCAGACAGGATGGGACAGACGTAATCGTAAAATTATAAAACACATATACGGAAAACGGATCTGTTTCCGGAACTTTATACAATGAATTGACAGATTATCGTAAGACGTGAGGATATTGCACCTGTGGCAATATCACCTTGAGTGGGCGAGGGTTATCTTACCAGCCTGACTCAGTCTAAACTACCTCACAAATAAGATATTTTGCTACCTGCTGAAAATGACAATGGCTAATATATCTTGGTAGTCTCGTTATGTATTGGCATATACTTGTAACTGTTCTTATTCATGATATGAAAAGGGTATGAATTTTAATTTAATTAGATAGTTTGAAAGCCGTTAATAATTACATTCAATGCAATAAACCCTACTAATAATGGTTTGGGTTTGGGGAAAGGGATATGTTTAAAAACTGCCTAGTTTCAAACTTGTTTAAAATGTTTTATTATTAATCTGTTAATCCCGTCACGATGGGAGTGTTTGCGTTGCCCCTTTGCTGATACTGTTCTGAGAGTTTTTTTTATAAAGTTCAACTTACCAGGGAGGTTTTAGTTTTGCATATCTTATAACACGAGTAACAAGAGATGTAGGATTTTAAATTGATAATTTGTTTCACACAGTAAACAGTAAACAGGTTTTCAAGCACTATAACAGCATGTAATTATATATATATCACAAATTGTCATTTCCAAATTTGGATTCAAAACATATTGTTTTCAGTACTCACGAGTTTGAAATCTTAATGTCTCAAATTGTAGCATTTTGTTTATCTTTACTTCTTGTTGCACATATAACACTTTACTCCTGAATATTTTGAAAATAATCTGGAGTTGCTAACCAACTGAGATGTAGACTTTGTAACCAGCAATAATATGATACCATTTTGTGATAACATCCATAGGAATTATTTTGAACTGATCACGTAATTATGCCTCTGTACCCTTTTAAAATGTCTTTAAAAATTGAAGTGTAATATATTGGTGTATGATAGGGAAATATCATTTCAATTTGAAGCACTACAGTTTGGAGAAACCTTATTAGGTTTTTACAAGATTCTAGCCTTAAGGGTAGCCACTGAAACATTGTCAAATGTCACCAGCAAATAAATTTAAAATGAATATAATGGGATCCGTAAATCTTATTATATATGAAAGTAAATAGTGCGGCTGTATAATGGAATAAGCTTAATAGAAATTTCTTTTACATACAATTGTTAATTTTGACGAAAGTAATATTCCTATAAGGAGGATTTGGGCGTAACCGATGCGGCTAAACTTTTTCCAATCTTGACACATCTAAATGTTTACGAATGGTTTTATCATCGATAAGACTGGTTACACTAGATCCTTAATATATGACTAGCGATGTACAGGGTTGGATTTTATCGACCTTATTGATTCGGCTGTGTCGAGCGTACGATTACAGATGGATAAATTCGGCACAGGAATTCATACGCTAAGTTGAGACGTTATCTACTCCAAGCGACAGGCACCCACACAGCTAATATTTACCGTGAAAGGGGGCATCTTTATAAATCACCCGGCTACAAAAGGTACCTGTACTCTCTGATAGAGGCAACGTCTCAGTGGGGATTGGGTCCCCTCTGAACTTTAAACGACCTGCTAAGACATATATCTTTGGTATGACGTACCCAAATCAAAATTGAAATAGTAGATATGGGTGTGGTAATAATATAAAGTCTATATAAAAGAAAGAATAGGAACAAATATCCTTGTGGGTACATGTGGCTTTGAAGAAACGGTTGGAATTAAATGTTTTGATGTAGGTATCACAAAAAAAATGTCTCATATCTTTTCATCATCCTTTCGTTACATATCAGTTATGAGAATATGTTCCTTTAGAATCCAGAATGTTAACTAGATTTCTTTTTTCGAACTGAATACCAAGAGCGTGGATAAGACACAGTAATAAACTATAGGTTTATAATTTAGCATACGGTTATTTGATTGCTTGAACATAGTTTGACATTTGATATTCTTCTAACTATATTCGCCGAAAAATAATTGTTTCGTGTTAAGGTTATAATTTGTGTTCGTTTTGATGCCCAAAAGGAGGATTTATTAAAAAGAATAGCAACATGTTTGCAACACGACCGTTGCTCTTCCTCGCCATTATTGGATTGGCGGCCTGCCAGATGGAAAAAACAGGTGAGTCCAATTAGTTTGTATAATTAATGTTTGGATATACAAACGCAGTTTTAGTGGTTGTTATTGACAAGTGTTTTATACAGGCATTTTCGTTATTTCTATGCACAATAAATCGGGGAAAAGAGCAAAATGATAAAATTAACATTTCAAATGAATTATGCAATGATGTGGAATCCTTTTGACTTTACAATCACATATTCAGCAGGGCTTTAGTTTATCGGTATGCTATAACCATATAATAATAATAATCGTATGTATTCAAAGTATTGAGAGACTTTTGCCATCAATTCGAAAATGATTTCAAAGTACTTATGCATTTTGTTGAAGACTACGCTAGACAATGGGCAAACTGAAAGCATTCTTAAATCGATTCACTCTCAACGTGGGTTCAGTTATATCAAGGTCGTCATTCTTAATTGATTAAGTAGCTTGAAATCAGAAATCTAAACCACACACAAGTCGGTATGTATGAACCACACTGACCGATCTGCAAGATAAGTATTTGGCTGTGTCGGCAAACAAAGTCTAATAACATTATCTTTGGTTGCAAACACATTTATATTATGTAAACAAACTTGCTGGAAAACAAAGGTAGTCCTACTTCAATATTTCCCATTTTTATCAACAGATTATGTTTCTATGTTACAATCATTTCCAACTGTTTGTTAATGATAAGGATTCGGGCATGTCCCGTGTGTAATATATCCCGAATCTTCACAAGAATCCATGCAAGGAGCATTTGCTTACTAGCTCTGACATTTGCTCAACCAAACTATTATCCAAACCCCTTACAATCATACTTACTATTATTTAGTCTTGGCTACAGTTGTATTATGACACTGTTTAGTCCAGCGGAATAAAACAGATTTCGGAGTTGATGATCTCAACGGATATTTCAATCAATCTTGATAATTTCTTGAGCGTATATCAGAGCTTATGACAAAAACCTTGCTAGTCCTTAAATTGCACCTTAAACTATATGGGCGTTTGGGTTTCTTTTAATGGAAAAGAAATATTAAAAGCGTCGATCATAAACGATATACCCAAGGACAACTTTCAGCTGCTTTCCTCGATCTTTACTAACAAAATGTCCGTCAAGGACGGTTGGCTACTTCGATTTTACGATCGTGAAATATTCTTTTCTTAATAGTAAAGTCCCTGTTTCCCCGACATGCGGTGTTAAAATGTTCTTGTTAAAAAAAATGCAAGGATGTCAACTGTCGACAGATACACTTACGACACAGGGTTTCCAAACACGCAGTTTAATTTGATGAAGTCCTTTCCTTTAACCTGTAAATCTATTTTACAACAATTATAAAACAAATCATCTTAACTTATATCACTTACTCTTGATAGCTCTCATGCTAGCGCCCGAGGGGTCTTAATGTAGGAGGGACCTGGAGTTCCTCGAGAAAACCCTGGTTATCTGGAAGGTGACCCCTCACCTTTTCGGGAATCAAACCCAGGTCGCCTTTGCGAAAGGCACCTGTGCTAACCACTGTGTCACCCGACCAGCCAATATCCATTTGATCTTTCATTTCTCTACACTAATGCATCTTATACAAAACTAAAGGAATACCTTCGTTCTTTTATTGTTGGAGATTTCGTTTCAGTAAAATGCAATCGACAAAATAAATCAATGGTTTTGAACAATTAAGGGGGATATCTTGTGTTTTGGAAAAGGCCAAAAGTCTATGCCCATTTGTTAGTCGCCTTGTCGTTTGTTTTCACACGAGGCTTAAATTTTCAAAAAGCTTAACAGAACAGTTTACAAGTCATTCAATTTCTTTTCCAGAATATGTGATAAATTCCTGCAGTATTTAGTATGCGATAATTATTTACATTTCCATGAAAGAGGATGAAAGACAACCTTACAATACGTTTTTTTTCGAGACATGCAGGCTGATTTAGTGTTAGGGCAAGTTGTCTTGCCGTCATCATGACCTCATCCGAATTCGTTTCATATATCAACATCTTCTTTTTAATGATGCTCATGATGTGACATCTCTTGAATTGACCAAGAGTTGCATGACGGATATATTCAAAAGACCTGCTCTTATCCACCCATAAGTTTTCAAGGACGATATATAAATCTTTCTGTCCATAGTATGCAGCTTTTAGTTCAAGTTTTACTTCCCTACTGATGTCTTATTTTGTCTTAGTATGTTCAGGTAATTAGGATCACCTAAGAGTTCTACAGAGACAGAGTGTAATTCGGTTTTTTGCATGCTGTATCTATAGCTAAATCTTAAAGGTTTAAATCCTGTGTGTGTGTAAAGTCCATCTTTCATAAAAAGGATAGTATTACGTAAATGTTTCAGAATGAGATATAAACAAACTGTGTACCGATACAAAATATGTGATATCGATGTCAGTACATTGATTGCATAATTGTATAAGACAAGTTGTGCGGTATGTAATGAATATGTATGCACCATCAATATATACAAGTGTCAAGGTCAAAATGGAACAGAGCACGGGATCATACATCTTCAGTTTGATGGGATTATAGCATCCGGTGTTAATTTTTGCTTGGTTGTGAAAGTCAGTTGTTGGGTTATATCCGAAAATAAGCAACAAGCTTTTCTTACGGTTGTTTTAACTGTTTTCCACGTTTTCTGCTCTTTCTAATCAACTGTGTCTTCTGTGTTGGTGGTTTCGCATCATTTTGATCATTTACATTTCACGACTTTTCAGTGTGTTTTTATGAAAAACAACTTGTTATTTTCATTTTTTTCAGAATCGTTGTGGTATTTCACAGTGTTTGGTAGTAACATTATAAGCATCGATTTGAGTGTTGATAACATTTTCGTCTTTTGACCTGCTTTAAAAGAATGCTAAGGCAGATTTGTCCAAAGTCGGCTGTTTAAAGGTAAAGCAACGCCCAATACATGTTTGTTTACCAATTGATTAACCACTGTGGAGTTACATAGCTGATTTGTACAGGAGTTGATTGGCAGTGGGGTATTATTGTCACATCAACTATGAAGAACATGTAATATTGTTCGCGGCAGTGGTAGTAGAATATCAAAAATATATATAATGCTTCGTAACAGAAAACGTGATGCGTCACATGTACAGGAATCCAAGCAACCCAGACCTGTATACCCAAAGGTGAGGTACGCCTTTCACGAGTTGGGGCACAATGATGGGAACCGACTAGGACATGTCGTAGGATTTAAGACTGATGAGGTTATTAGGATTTCTCGCATGTATCGGAGTTAGATAGTGTTATGAAGACGGAAGTGATCAGTTGAGGGGTAAATACCTGCAAAACATCCGCTGTTTAAAGACATGTCATTATTATCATTTCGATACACAAGGGCAGTCTACAATATAGACGGAAATAGAAAATAATCGGTGACAGGGAACCACAGAAACAAAGGAAATGTCATCAGAAAATCTCACAAACCGGAAACGGAACCAGGTGTTCTGTAAGGGTAGGCGTTTCCTGCACCACATTATAATTATTCTTTGTAATGAAATGTATGGTTAACATACATTTAAGATTGCAGTTCCATTATTGGTTGTGTGTCCGACGGGTAGTCCAACCTTTGCCACCAATAGGTAACGGGGGATCATAGACGTCGTTGCACCTCCCACGCATGTAGTTATGTAGATCGTAAACAAAATATCCGCCTTTCATCTGACACTATGGAATGCTACCTGTAAATAGTAACCTCTAATAACGGTTGGTAGGTTAGGCTATCGATGTTGGCAGTAAGCACACAGTAAAGTATACTACAGAAAAAGAGACTATTTAAAACAATTCACATCAACAGATAAGCGTGTACGTGGTGCATACATCGCATGCTGGGACAACGATTTATTATAAGGCATTAGAGATTGATATCAAACGTTATTATGACGGAGTGACGACATCATGAATCATATAAATTATATTGATGATATAATCATATGGATCACGTGAACAAGAAGAAATATTACTGGCCAATAACAAAGTTATCTCTACGTTTGTTATCATTCAATTTAAAATTCAATTTAAAAGTATTTTTTTCGTGTTCTTTAATCCTTTTATTTTCGTCAAATAATTGCCAGTTATTACATGCTATCCTCTGTACAGTATATAATTGTTAACCATCATTTTTAACATTGATACTGATCAAAATGAAACAATTCTTTTAGAGATTTGATATACGAAAAATAATTTGTAAACAGCGTGATAATTGTATGAATGGTACAAATATGTATGACCTCACTGCTAAATACCAATATGTGTCATGTGAGATATTCTTATCTATAGGTGTGTTGATACTGATAAGACCCGGCTCTTTGTATAAAGGAACCATTGTAGGTATCTACAAACGAATCATTTCATCATGGAAGATAAATGGGTTTGAATATCAAAATGACTGAAAGGGATTCGAATAAAACAGATTACTGGTTGCTCAGATACGATGCACGGAGATGAAATGTGTTATCCTATATGGTTACACAGTTGCGATTCCTCTATTAGAATACATGCAACAGCCAGATCCGTATATTATTGTTTACACACAGACACCTCACGTTATTTGGAGCCTTGAAAATCCGGTCGTCTTAATTTCAAGCAAGAGATGCTTTGTTGTTACCCGGCCCGACATTAACACGACTGTATAACTAGGGCAATTTTGTATAGGAAAATTTCAATATGTCCCTAAACGAGGTCTGGTCAGTGGGATAACTGTTTTAGTGTTAGATAAATTAATGATGCTCTACAGTGGTTTATTCTTATTTTGACATGTGTAAATATTAGAAGTATTGTGCTAATGTCACCTTTTCCAAACAATTCAAAATAATTTCCCATTCATTAAAACAGATCATTTCATTGTTATAGCCATGCGACTTAAAATACATAAAAACAAGTCAAAAGTATATACACTCTTTAAAAAAAGTTAATTGAATATTAAATACGCCGTTTATGTACATCACACTATTACATTCAGTTGACAATGTGTCATAACTTATAAGTATGTTCCAAATTAAACACAATACTAAAGTACTAATAATTAATATGGACCGGGACAATTTTATCTAGGCTCACTTCAAGTCTTGCAGAAATCACAATTATATTGAAACATTGCAGCTAAACACTGTGGTAAACAAGGTCATTTTTTTCTGAGAAATCGTTCTGATAAAGACCATCATTGGGGAAACTGCCAAAACTAATTTATAATACCACTTGGGAACAGAATTAATTAATAACTATTAATTAATCGAACCATATCTACTGATTTATTGAAACTATTCATATTATAATATAATCTTTCATCATGGTTGGGTGAATTTAAAAACTAGTTGTTATAAGAACCCCCCCCCCCCCCCCCCCCCATAGTAGCTGTTCTGCTTTGTTGCAACTGAATCGTTCATGTTGCATTCATCTGTCTATGTGTTCTAAAAGAAGATGTTATGTCCTATTCACTAATTGATATTCATTCTTACAGACTGTATGGACGACCTATGGAAGGAGGGGAAACTCTCTCTGGCCATGATATCAGTGTCTTCACATAACGCCGACAAAGCACAAATCACACCTGATGGTAAGTACATAGATGATTTCCGGAAAAACTCAATTATTCTGCATCTTTTCATTTATCTTTGATAACGTTTTCTGTTAATAGGATCAGGAAGCTGTTGATATGTCGTCGGTTGTATAGCAAACAAACGTGGCAACTATTTATTTACATTTTGGAAGACATCAATTGTCCATAATGCTGGTGCGGTTCCACTTCATTGTACTTTATAAAGTTTTAATGTATCATTGTTCTCATCAAACCTTCACGGAAATACGTACATCTATACGAGTATGGGATCAGTTGCTCTGTACATTCAAAACGGAACGTACTATGAATATACTTTAAGTTCATTTTCTCCTTCATCTTTACGCTCGAATAAGAATCTAAGAGGTTCAAATCGCACATGTGTGACAACTTAGTGCCAATGTCCAAATAATGATGACGTCATGCGTTAGAGATTTGAGAATGTTTTTATGATGCAATAAGGAGAACGAAAATATCAGATATATGATTATCTCATCAAAATCACATAGTTTAGCGAATGTATTTTTCTCTTTAATCTCCATTGTTTTTTATCGTTTTATTGACTGTCCGGCTGATAAATACACAACTGGTAATCATGTTCCTATGTTACCCAAAAGGACAGGGATGGTGTGGTGACAACACAACTAACAACAACAGAATCGAAATCGTCTTTGCTGAACCGACCGTCGTGCATCAGATCCAGATAATGAGCAGTGTTGGTAAAGGCAACGTTAGACAGATACAGCTCTTGACAACATTTGATAAACATTCTGCCTGGGACCAACTCGTAGCAACCTTTGTAAGATGTTTTATTATGATGATACTCAATCACATGATCAAAATAACCGCATATTGTTGTAAACCATTGGATAGATAATACTTGAACGAGTAAGACATCTGCTATTGTAAGCGTAAAGATGAAACTTTAGGAATATAATTCAATAAACAATTCTACGTTGTATGTGTTGGAATGACTATCTTCCTGAGACAATCTACTTTGATACTTTACTGATAATTACATGCACGTGTAAAATGTCTTGTTGATGGACTCGAGTGTGTGTTTCTGATCGTCAGGAGCATGTAGACTGGTTTAAGTTAGTTTACATGAATAAGAAATAAGGGATAATCATAGAGACTGATAGCTAGTCTAGCGTGTGCAGTCATTTTTTTTCTTTCTACATTTACGTATGTTAATAGGAAAAACAAATTTATCCATCTGTATCATATGATTACTTTATAATAATGTTATCACAGTGGCTATATGTAAAAATGAGCATGAAATTGATTGAAACCAACACAAATTCTTCAAAGGAAAATTCAAAATGGGAAGCGCAAAAAGCTGTGAGCAAGATTAATGTCATAAAGACTGTTTATGTATTTGTAAAAAAGAAAAAAATATATTCGTTTTGAAATATATAAAAGTAAAAGGGTTTTTTAATGAACGTGCGTGATGAAAATACCGGTATGTCTGTGAGAACTCGGTTGTCTTCCAAAAGGCATTGCAAAACGGTTATAAATTGCTTGGACGTGACCATAGGATCATTATTAACGAATTGTTGTGAATATGGTATAGTATCAGTTCTAACTATTATCCATAATTTTCTTATGCACATGGTACATATTTTCATATTGTTCTCCAACAAATTAATATTTCAAATTACATACTATACACATAGATTAGGTTTTTGAGCTAATAAAGTAAGCAATTAATCATTTAAGTACATATACCGTTAATCATAATCATTCTGTTTTTAAAATGTTTGTTTCTACATCAATTCTAATCTATCAATTATCCATTTTCTTTTATCAGGATACACAGCTTAATAATCATTCAGCAACTGTTATGGATGCAGGAGGCAGTAACCTTATCAAGATGAGGATAAACATAGTATCTTTTGACCACAGTCCATGCATGCGGCTACAACTCTTTGGATGTTCTCCTAAAGGTATAAATACTATAGCACTGTGACAAAATGCAAAAATTTTGAAAAAAAGGTATATCAAGAGGGGATAGGCCAAACTTACATCATAATAAAGCAATTGTCAACGAATAAACGATGAAGACAACTATGAGAAACAGTGATATTTTACAAACAACTCTAAATAAAAATAAAAATCTAGTTATGTAAACTTTATCATTGTATGTGAAAACAAAAATGTTAGATATGCCATTATAACGGTTTTTGCCATACACGTAGAACAAGTAGAATGCAATATTGTCATGTCTGATGGAGGCCATTTTAAGTTAGACCAAATTAGTAAACTTTTGTGTTATTTTGTTTGTCCAGACATCTGCCCTGACTGTCAGAATGGAGGACAATGTTTACAGAATGCAGTATGTAAATGTCCCTACGGCTTCAGTGGTAATCTCTGTGAAACTGAAACGAGTACGTGCTTTAACTTTTTGTATGGATATGTTTTCATTATAATCATTTTCTTAAATTCATTTGTTAAATAACAACAATATCAATGGTGAACATGGTACTCTTTTATAATTACATTTTTAATTCAACTTTCCAATGACATCTTTGCACTGAACTTATCATTGCCTTTTATGTTTTATCTCAGGTAAACCACCTGCAAACGGTATGTATCACCACTCATACGTTTATTTCACCGAGTTGCATGTAACATTGTCGCTATCTCTGAGATACAATCTTGATTGCTTAACATATCACAAAATATAACTTATTTATTACGCGTGAAGAGGACTGGATATGTCAAAGTAACTGTCTCTCATGAGATTATTTAGCTTTATTTTGATAACAAAATTAATATTTTAATTTCGGAATTTTGTCCTAACTCCATAACTCTAGGCAGGTATAAAGGTCGAGTTAAGAGACAAGTCAATATCTAAACAAAATGAATAAAGCTATTGATCGGTGGTGAACTGTCATCATTACTTCGTTTGGTGGATTTTAGAAATATTTTGATAGAACCTGCCAAGTTATATAAACAAACTTGAAAATCCGATACAGTATTTGACCAAGTGTCTGGTTTATATTTTAGCGTGCATGGCTAGGCAAGGGTTAGGTGATAACACATTATCGTCGGATCATCTACGAGTGTCCACGTCTGCCAAAAACCAATCCAAGGATATGGGGAGGCTGAACTACTGTTGCAAAGGTAAGAATGTGTGTGGTCAAGATGTAACATCCAAATCATGTTAAGAAAACGTGACAAATGTACATACATCGCACGATACATAAAACTAAATTTCAAAATTTAAAATTATTTGAAAGCTTATTTTTAGATAGTTTGTATATAGTTTCATTACATCTAAAATACATAATCTCAATGTTAACCACATATAGCTATATCTAGATAACTAGACCGTATAGACGATGTACACCTATTGACAGGTGATGTTATCGGCGGCTGGTGCCCTGCTCACGCTGATCTCACTCCGTGGTACGAGGTCATGTTTCCATCACCTGTGGCCTTTGGTGGACTTGAGATCCAGCCTCCGTCTATGCTGGGAGTTCTCATCCCACCGACCTTCTTTATGAAGACCTTTCGCCTGGAGATCATCTTATCAGAAGATTCTCTCAAGCAATGGAGGGTTGTAGCACCAGTAGGTATTACATTTTGGAAAAAAAAGAACCAAAAGATATGTGTCCTTACTCCTGTACACATTTCACGGGATATGTAATTATCAAGAGTAATAACTCATATCGGAAAATTGTGATGTCGTTGATTATGTTTTCATAGAGGTACACTTATATGTATGGAATGTTGAATACATGGTCTAGTCATAAAGGATTTTACACAGAAAAAAAGTGTACTTTACAACGTTTTGCAAGTTACGAAAGCATTTATTTCATATAATACATGCTAAAGTGATATGCAAGGAGGAAATTGGCATTTGCTAAAATACACATGGTAAAATGTCATCCCCAGAAAAATCAAAAATACTAAGAATACAAAACTGTCGTAAGGGAAGGCCATTTAAATTTATAAAAGTGAACTTTAAGATAATGAATTAAAGCTTAAGGCGAAAAGTCTATAAATAAGCTTACCTCTGCTGTAGACGATTGACGCAATATCCAACAGTACCATCCGCAAGTCCTGGTTGAGTGTTAACCCCCACGTTGCCATAGATGCCCTGAGGATATATCCTCTCACCAGTGAGATAAATCCCTGCTTTCGGTTCGACGTCCTGGGCTGTGAACCTTCAGGTAATCTACATATTTCACAAATATCCCCCCCCCCCACCTGTTTTACGTCTCTTTCTTCTAATCCTTCTTTTTTCTTATTCTTCTATTTATTTTCCTTCTGCTAAATGGCTTCCTGACGTTTCTTCAGAGTCTACTTGTAAGATACTATAACATGAACGTATACAATAGGTTTGATGGGCATATGTAGATAGGAGTAACGTGATTGAATTATCGTTCAGTCATCGAAGATGGACGTCGTGACATCTATTTTTTCTTTTTACACATTATGGCAATGGTTCCTATCTACATCTCAATTTTGCTGAAGTTTTTATGATAGTGTACAATGGCATTGCAAATTCCTTCAAATGTGTAATTTGTAGGTTTTGTTAGTTTGTTTCATTTTATGATATTTCATCTTTTAAAAAGTTACTTATTGCCTGTCAGTGGTAACATGTAGGAACACAAAGCGAACGTTCATTAACATAGAGGAATTAGTAGCATTGCACAGTTTGGTCAATCAATTCTGTGTGTGGTTCCCCTATTTTCATCTCCAGCCAAACATGTGGCTTTTTTTCTTCATATGGATTATCCATTGCATGTTTTTGGCATGTCACTAGTAATAATGAATCTTTTGAACTTGACAGAGCTGTGCTCCTCGGGTTTTTGTAAGAATGGCGGAACATGTGTCGGCCAGCAACAGTGTGCGTGTACACGTGGGTTTTACGGATCGGACTGCAGTGGTGAGTACTTTAAAGCTTTGTTTATATATAATTCTAACGATACTTTTTGAATTCCTGCTTTTTAAACAGAAGGGTATCAATTAAAGAAATTTAAGTTATTCCACAAATTTAAAACGAAATATCCAGAATAAATGTGGAAATTATTAAAAGAATCGTAATGATGTACCCTTTGAGTAGCTTTGTACAATATAATTACTTTTTATTCATATCTTCTGTTAACAGTTACGACACTTACAACGACTGTTTTTGAAATAACAACTATCATCAAGCACGTGATCCATACGACGACAGCCCTGACTTTTAACATCCAAGGCCACGTGAGTCTGGTTAATTCATCTCTCGGACAGGCAATGCACGTGACCGGCGCCAATAGTTACGTAACAGTCAGTAATGCTGTGTTTCCGTCTTGTCTTAGAGATATAAGATCGTGTAGCTCTGGGTTTACAATCAACCTGAATGTCATGTTCAACAAACTGGAGGAGAATACCTATATAATTTCTAATGGTGGTGATCGTCCTGACGGCATGGGTTTAACGCTGTATTACGCTTCCAAACAGCTACACTATATAGTGACGACTGAGACCCTCATATGGAGCCTCACAACAACCACTAGTCTGGTCACAGGCGTTTGGCAGCACCTCGAGATCTCCTGGAGTTCTTCTCTCGGAATCGAACTCCTTAACAACGGCAAGCTGATCGGTAGCATTACCCGACCACAGCCCCGCCCAACGGCGCTTAAGATAAAACCAAGGGAATTAACTTTGGGTTATGGCTACGTTAGCACGTCTTCTGAGGTATCAGTGACATTCAACGGTCTGAAAACATACGACGCTAAGAGGACAGATTTAGTGACCCAAGGTGTCATCACCGGTAAGCAGAACTAAAGTGATGTTTATATTATTGATTTATTTTTTCGTCCTTTTCATCGATTTTCGTTATATATGTATAAAGCAATTCCGAAATTGCCTAATTTAAAAGTTAATATAGTATGTATGTTTCTGTCCTTATGTACTATTCTTAATGTATATCCATACCTTACTGTCTTTAAATACAGCGTTTTCGTTTGACATTCTCTGTGATCTTTTCTTGAAATCGAACAATCAGTGTATCCATGTCAAATTTATTATTGTAACTTACATACTAAATATCTCTCACTTTCTCGTTCACTCGTCTTTAAGTGCAAGTTTCATTTCATTTCAGTACCAACCACAACAACAAGTACTGCTAAGCCAACGAAACCATCGTCAGGTAAATGTTTGTTTGATTATCTGAGCTATAAACATTATTCCTATTCTATAAACTGACTAATGTCATAAATGATTTTATTTGTTTGTCATCAGTTAGGCATGCCAGAATAGAGATTGCGATAACCTGAAATGTAATTATATCTTATTGGTTACATACAGAAAACGGTGTAGTTATTCCTAATATTTAACATATGTTAAAATAAGTTATTTTTAAAGAATGCCTTTTAAAACGATTTTTTGTTATAAATTGTGTTAAAATAAGAAATATTCATCAGGTTTGATTTTCCGACCAGACGCATTCTCGTATCATACTGAAGCATGGTATTGGTCGTCCGTCTGTAAATAATATTATAGTTCTGTTAACGATGTACTACAAAATGTATGCATCTGCGATAAAAATAATTTGAATCTACACTATTCTATAGTATGCGAATTCCTTTTTGGGTTTGACACTTACTAAGTAGATAAGTCAATTGACCTAGTTAGTATATTATGCAAAACGCCAGTGTATTGACACACTTGTTTCGTAGAACCTCGTTAATCTCGACACTAAATTTAGTCTTTGGTAAAATGTGGATTTATGAAAACTAGGTGAAGAACTATAAGATATCATTCCAATGATGACAAATAAGACACACTCATATATAAAGGGAGGGGGATAAGTAACCAAACTCGATAGATGGACAGCATAATAAGTTGTGGCTAGTTTTACAAAGCTTTACTGTATCTGATATTTATTCTAGAAATATAGACAGTATACATTTGTATCAAAACCATTTATGTTTGAAGTTCACCTTTTCTAGAAAATGCGATAGAACATGATTAATGGTCTAGAATTGTCGTTACTAATACACGCATACACCTGCATTTCTATCTTTCTTCATCCCACCTTACTAAAAACTGTTTTATATACCCATGTTATTTCACTTTGCGAAATATATTTCATACTCCAAAGCTTCTCACTGTACTTATAAATTATACAACTACTTTATATATTTATGCATTCAATTGTGGCAAGATTTATATAAAAATGCTAGTTAAACGATAGATAATCTCCTCCAGCCGTTAAATGCAAAGTTATAAAAGGTTTTAAAAACCCGTTTCCATTTGTTCCATTTTCTATATATAACTCAGACCAATTTAGAAATAGTTTGACCTTAAGAACCACCGCCGTTTCTTAAATAGACGGAATGGCCACGGGTGCAGGTAAAGGTTTTCCTTTATTTGGCTTTTTTGCATTAACTTAATACATTTGTGATAAATGCTGATTTGTGACTTTTCAATGACCGGAACTGTTCGGTTCGCGATTTGAGCGCAATTGTTTTCGGATCCCTTTTTGTGGGTGTGTATTTAACATCATGCTACCGTGGTCTTATGATAACAATACTTACCGCCAATATGTGTTCATTTTACGTCGGAGAATTCACTCCTTGAATATGGGGATGTGTAAATATACTCGCACGTACTCGCAAACGTGGATGTAAAAAAAAAAAAAAATGTAGGCGTCATATGGAATATTGCTTCATGTTTTAGAAATAAACATACGTTTCATTAAGTAATAAATGATACTGCATTTGCAGGGTGTTTCAATAAATATTACAGCTTGTTGGAAACATCATGCAGACCACTTCATTACTGAAGCAAAACATCCATGGTCACGTGACTCTTTGAGAGTTATGATTGTTTAGCTCCCGTTTTAGGTTACTAAACACAATCTTACCCTAGATGTTTGTTGACCTGACTTGGACATATCGCTTGTCGATCATGCGGACGTGTTAATGCACATGTATTGATGTTGTCTTTCGTACTGCATACTCGTACTATCTGCAAAAATGTCTTATGGAAAATATGTGAGAAATTTGCTTATTTGTAAGTGTCATACCTTAAATGTTTTGGGAAAGGCGGAAATACGTTTAATTAATAATCAAATCGTATTTGCAGGGTTGATTCAAGAAACATTTGAGTTTCAAAGTATTGTTGGAAACGTCATTCAAACCACTTCGAACTTGACGCTTAATATACATGGTCACGTGACACTATCAACCTCCCAATCAGGAGGGAAGGCGGTGATGTTGAATGGGACTGATTCCTACATAACTATTGTCAACAAAACATTCCAATCATGTCTGCAAGCTATTGATACATGCTCCCACGGATTCAGCCTAGCCATTGTTGTCTTAACCAAACAGCTTGAAAACAACACCTATTTCCTTTCTAATGGCGGTGATCTGGATCGTGGTATGGGCGTAGCGTTGCTATATATTAACAATAAAATTAAACTGGTCATCAGTACGAGTTCACAGATCTGGAACTTCGAGGTCAAGAGTTCTCTTAAAACGAATGTCATATACCGAATGGAAATATCCTGGAGCAAAACTTTAGGATCAAAGCTGTACATTAACGGTTTGCTGGTGGGGGAAGCAATGGAGTCCATCCGGGTAACACCGGGGAATTCGATTAACGCACTTTCGATTGGCTACGGTTTCTCATCGGTACACACGACCGTTTCCATGGAGATATACAGTCTGTTGGTAATAGATTACGAACGCTCGTATCTTGTACAACAAGGCATTTGGACAAGTGAGTCCGCCCAATTTAATATCAATTCCATGTTTCTGATATATTTATGCTTCATACCATTTTGCATTTGAGCCTAGGCAGCCTGTATGCATTCAAAAGAAGGACTAACGAGTAAATTTTGTATTGTAGTAAATGTATAATACATTTTTAACATTTTAACATCATAAATAAAACAAATTAAAATGTACTATCTACAATATGTTCATATTTACATATACGTTGATACATGTATTTATTGGGCCTGTCAGTGTGGTTGCATGTTATTAGAAACTGCTAGTTAATAAAAGTTAATTTTTAGGTTTCAGGTTTAAACAAAATTATATTGAAACACGTACAATGCACATGCTATATTAGGATGTTCAGCTGATCTGTGTGCGTAGAAAATATCATTAGGTATTCTAAAATATTTATTTAATAAGGATAATGAAAAACACATTTTTCAGCACAAAGATGATAAAAAAAATAACTTTTATCAAAAAAACAATATAGCATGACGCATTAATAAATTCTCTTTGATTTAAATATCAAATGTCCCCGAAACGAAAACAAATCTACGTTTGATTTTAAGTAATGTTTTATTCTTTTCTATATCGTGATTAATGTCGGTGCAATGTCCTTTCAGCAACAAAGCCCAGTACCACCCCAATCGCTGTGTCAACGCCAGCATCAACTGCAGGTATGGACACACTACCAACAATCCTTTAATGTATAATAAACTTATGATACATAAAAAGAAAAGTTATGCTCACCGACTCATTAGTGGGTAAACCTGATAGGTTGTGGCTATATTAACGAACTGAATGTATCTAACTTATGATGCACAAATAAATCTACATCTATATCCAAACCATGTTTTAGCTAAGCGATATATGTACCATACACCTGTACAGTCTCACTCTTCTAGACAAGACACGAAACAAGTTATAAAAGTTAGATGAATTAAAGGACGCTTTAAAAAAGCTATAAGCCAATGTAACAAATCTATTCTGATTTCACAGTTACAACGAAATCAACCATCCAGTCTTTAAACTTCACATTCATACTGATAAAGGACAACTTATTGGTGACACCTCTGCACAACTTCACCGTGTATGGGAAGCCTAGCATCGTACCGGAAATTAGCGGAGGTGCCATACTTGTACTCAATACGACTGGACAGTATGTGGAACTGCCAAATACCGGCATGCAGTGCTTGCAAGATCTAACTACATGTGACAACGGTTTTACATTGAGTTTAGAAATAAAATTTCTTAACTCTTCAATCACGGATAAACAGTACATCTTCTCAAGTGGAGGCGACCAGTTGAACACTTCCGGTATTGCACTGTACCTGTGGAAGGGGGAGTTGTATTGTTCTGTGAAGTGGAATAAAGTCTTATGGGCTTCGAAATCCAAAATTCATTTCAGTCATACTGAGTGGCATACCTATCAAGTGTCCTGGAATGATGTCGATGGATTTATAGTATACATTGACGGTCAGCTGTTTATGAATCATACACTCAGATTCCCCAACCCAACACAACCGGATATTCATTCTTTACTGATTGCGAAAGGTCATGGATCCTCCAGCACTTCATTCCTTGATATCAGAAACTTGTTTGCATGGACAGCGTCACGTGATGTTCTCATACACGAACATATTATTCAAGGTGAAGGAATAAATAGTTAAGCTTTTGTTTTCCACTGAGTTCCGCCCATTTCATGACCCTACTAGTTTATGGCATCAGGATATTTGGTGTTTTCTTCGGAGAATTGCATTATAATGCAAATATGTTAATGGTGTTGTTGCCAAAGACAATATTTGTTTATAACATGGATCTAAATATCCGTTAAATGTTTCATCCTACTTCTTGGTTTAGTATTTTAACTGGCAACTAAATGCCGCAAAAACTGTAATTCGAATTCGTAATCGATAAAAGTAAGGAAAAATATCAACAAAGGAAATACTCACCTGCAAACCTTTGATAACTTACATACAAATTAGACACATGACCAGGCGTTTTTGAAGGGTAAGGATCCCTGCTTTATAGATAACACCTTTCTTGAACATTAAGGTGACATTTAAGCAGGTGTAGTTAGAACGAAACAACAAAGCAGTCTGATTAGCATACTCTAAAGTTAACCTTTATATCACACAGGGAAGTAAAATATATTCCAATGAAATAGTATTGGCAACATTGAAATAGCCTATAATCTTCTTTTACCTCATCTCTCTTTTACCTCGTCCGCAGTCCACATCTATCACGGAAACAATAAGATTCAGAGCTAGCTCTTGAATACCGAAGTAACTGCAACACGCAAATACACAGGGATACATAGGTAACCTTAAACAGCATGGAAAGATATCTTTTAAAATAATGAGAAAACGTTCGGGACCTGGTTTTATTTCATTTTATAATCGTACGCATGTTTCCTATTAGCATCTGGATCATATTTTCATTTGTTTTTGTAGATTACACCACAATCAAGCCAACGTCAACAAAACCTAAACGTGAGTACTTATCATCGCTATCTAACTTTGGTTTTCTAGTGAACATTTTTGAGAAATGTGTGCATTATTTTCAATGTGAGTTAATTGTAATATTATTTGAAAAACTATTTCATCAATTATGGACTTTTATTGAGGTGAAAATATGGTTATATGGACCTGAGAAAGCGACATTAACGGAGATATGAAATTATAACGTTTTACCATTAAACAAGATGGAGCTAGAAACATCGAGTAAGTATATAAAATGACTGACCTCCACGTGAATATGAATCAACCGATGACGATGTTGGGAAAATTCGTGCCATCACATATATAACATTGTTTCTAAATAATGTGTAACAAGTTTAAATACTTCTAAAAACTGTTTAACAATATCGGTTATTGCGTAGTGGTTAAAAAACCCTGAAATCCTGAAAACACTGTACACAGTTGTAAAACAATGCTGAATATCACATACTAACAATATAACATATTTTTAATTAGTGTATATCAATGTTACATTTAAATAAATATTTACAATTTGTTTTGAAGTTTTTAAACACTATATAATATCATTACCTTTTAATACTGATGACATGCTACTTACTGTATGAAATATTGAATACTTTAAGTATTGCAAATAAATATTGTGTACTTCAAAATACTATATAACATTATTACTTCTAAATCTGATTATCATTATTACAGACTTCTACATATTGTATAAAATATAACCCGCTTTTAAGTATCACATAATATTACTGTGTGCTGGTTTTACAATTACAAACCAATGAGTTGATAAACACGTTTGCGTTCTGATGGTATGTTAAACGTGATATTTGTCCATAACATTTTTAACAGATCAGTATTGTAACAATTATGGAAAGAATTCGTGTTTGTGTTTTATTGATGGAAATCCTGAAAATATTAATAACTGCACAATCAACTTAATATGCAAATAGTGATAGTGATCAATAGCTGCGCGGTAGACCACACAATAATTGCTTGATTTGCGCTTACTGAATACATCCTAAAAGGCCTACAGACGGCGCAGGCGCTTCATTTTTATTGAAAAAAACCGTTCTAATGGCGCTCTAAAATACTCATTAAACATTTGGACTTAAGATTTCGTCTTTAAATCATTTCAATTTGTAATGAACACATTTATTTTAAGTTAAATAGAAATGTTCGATGTCGCTTTCAGTTTAAAATAATAGTTCTGGTTCCTTGAATCCTCGAAAACCATTAAAGTAAATACACAGCGACTTTTTCATGTGATACGTTAAGATAAAGATACTTTATAACCGTTGTATAATTGTATAATGATTGAGTGTGTTTGAACTATTTAAATGTGAATGTGTTGTGTGAAAGGTTTATCTCCAACTTTTGTCAGATTGTTTTCAAAGTTTCACAGCCTATTCTTGTTATTAATATAAATTATGCATCAGCATCGAATATCGACAAAGCGACATGTCTCACCGTAGTTTAAACATCAATTCTTTATCCGTTCATTCTTTATTAATTGATCGTTAAACAATATTATCACCTTCAATACTGATGCTGCCTTCAGTACATGTTATCTCCCTAAATATCAATGTTAGACATCATTTTGTAGTTCCACTTGGTACAACTATTGCAGTCATTCTAAATATTGATAAACAACTGATAGTATGTGTAACTGAATTGCTCGTTTGATTAAGAAAGAAATGTCATCACTACATTAAGTACATGTATTATATCAATGATTGATACATGTAGTGCACTCTAATTATTATTATATTAATCTACAGAACAATACTGATTATCAGAAATAACGATCGGTTTCGATATTTATTTAGCACCAACGGCAGCCCCAACAACACAAACGACAAAGGCGCCAACAACACCACCAACAACAAAGACGCCAACGACACTACCACCAACAACAAAGGCGCCAACAACACCACCACCAACAACAAAGGCGCCAACAACACCACCAACAGCAAAGGCGCCAACAACAACACTGCCACCAACAAAGCCCCCGACTACTACATCAGCCAAGAATATAGTTTCCTACAACTGGTCGTTCACACAAATCAGCCAGACGAATCTGATTACGTCTGAGAACATTACGCTACATGTATACGGTGGGGCTACGGTGGACCCCAAACAGATGGCCCTCCACATCACACAAACAACCCACTACATTGACTTCGGCATGCACAAGAACACATGTTTAGGTAATCTTGATATGTGTCAGTCTGGGATCACGTTTGAGGTTGAAGTGGCGTTTGAATCACTCCAGGAAAATACTATAATCATGTCAAGTGGAGGAGAGAAAACGGATGGAACAGGAATTGCCCTCGTCTATAGATTTGGCCAAATCCAGTGTGTTGTCTCCACTTCAACTGTATCATGGTACGTGTCTGTACCCCGCGACAAACTTACCATCTCGTCCTTCAATTCCATCGTAGTCTCTTGGGCGCTTGACAAGGGTTTGATTTTGTATGTAGACAAGCAGATTGTAGATTTTAGTACGACACAAATATCCCATCAGTTGGTCAACAGCTCGAACCAGCATCTTTACGTAGGACAGCCACCAACAGTCTCGTCCACGACAAAGGTAGACTTCTACCTCAAGTCCATCCACTGCTGGCAAGTCTGGATCGACATCATTATTGACATCGACATAATCATCGGTTTCCCGCCAAGTAAAGGTAAGTAAGGACATTGTGTTATGTGCTTCCTGATCCCAACCGGTCTCACGTGGTTCGTGATCATTAAAGAAGAAAAATGATCATACATTCTTTCTACGGTTTTTGCAACATATATACCACTTTTCGATACTTATATGTGTCCTGTCTTATGCTATGAAAAGCATTATTTGTATACGCCCGTCGAAATTCGACGGGGGTATTATGTTTAGCGTTTGCGTCCGTCCGGTTAAAGTTTGGATGCAAGTTTCTTCAGTGGTCTACAGTTCAATCAGATCATGTGTTATTGTCCTAACCTTTGGTATCGATGTTTATGTGGGGTCTAACAAGGACAAAATGGATTTGATTTGGGAAAATAATTCCTATTTTTGTAAATTGCATAATCGTAGCCAATTATGGTACACATGTCCCTATAAACCCATAAGTCAAATAAAGTTTAGGGGAGTAAAAAACTTACTCTCAATGGTCTACATCATGCCCTGATTAAGAGGCACGAGGCAGTACATTAACAAAGAACCAATTACATAAATGTGAACATTACAGTGATGACAATCACCCTTGGTAACAAAAGCATCACTGCAAGCATTTTTATCACATAGACATGACACTAGCTACTAGGTACTTTGAATATCAAATAAACAAAAAAAATCATTGGATAGGGTCTGACGGGCGTATTATGCATCCGTTTGCGGTGCTCTTGTCTTATAAAGTTTTGTTCTGGGATGGATTGTCGTCTTATAAAATGATTTAAGAAATGTTGTAGACTTTTTGTAGGTAATCAGTGATTTAAGAGAAGACTTACAGCATGCACTTCCTCTGTTTTTCTTACCGAGTGACTTCATGTAAATACACGTGATACATTAAAGGCATAGCAAGATCATATATAAGTATCTTGAATCCCACTGGTTTTGATTCTCACTACGAAAACGCAAAAGGCTGCACATCAACTGGTTAGGTATAAAGCAACATTCCACTATATATCTGAGACGAGAATCTTTTTCAATAAGGTAAGTTATTTTTTTCCATTAAAAAAAGGGGAAGATCTTATCAGTATTTCATTGTAATTAAGGTAAGTTATTATTTTCGATTCAAAAGAAACATTTTTAACCTTTATAAAATGTTACTTACGTTTGTTTATGATTCAAACGTCAACATCACACACATACACTTTAATACCCACGAAGCTAGATCCTCTAATAATCAGACGTGGTACTCTTTTAATAAGAAGTTATCGCTATAAGTATTACCTTTTTCTTACAGGAAGAGTAGCATTTCGAAATGTATGAAATATATACAAGGGTATCGATTTTATGTTGCTGTTTCGTTCAGTTTCGATATTTTGATTTGCATTTCAAATACCACTTTTTGGTCAACTGAATAGCGTAAAAAATACATTTGTTAACGTTATGTCCCCCTGCAAAATGAAACCATTTCTACTATCTCTAATGAAACTATATACCGAGCCTGTCATGTTCATTTCTTAATGTTTTTTTTGTATTAGTGACCACAACCCGTAAACCCGTTACGACAAGGGCGACAACTCCAACAACAACGAAGGCACCGACAACATTACCTCCCCCTGCCAGTACCACAGACGTTTGTAATAAAGGCTGGATCTGTAAAGGTACACACCTAATATCTCCGCCTCATACATATATATACCGGATAAGACATTTTAAACATGTGAACAATAGATAATCTATTATTGATTTTATTTTATTAAGTAAATTTTCTTTTGGGATTTTCTTTTTGTCCCTACAATTGCAAAATACAATCAATTTGTGAATAGGTACAACAAATGATTGTTTTTACTTTTTACTGCCTACAATATTTTAAGTCATTTTAGGTCAAAATTACAAGCGCGGGGGAACTCTACGTATGTTGTCTGTCAATCTTGGATTATCTGCCATTCTAAAGAAATGTATTAAAGTATATAAACATTTTATGACAAACATGTAATGTAAAAAAAAAATAGTCAACTTTTCGCCTCAATATATTTTTGTTTGCTCTTTTAACCAGACGACATAACAACACCTAAGCCAACGACAACAAAGAAACCTACCACACCAAAGCCGACAACTACTCCGAAACCCACAACAGAGGCGACCACTACACCTAAAACTACAACACCTCGTACAACTACACCTCGCACAACTACACCGCGCCCAACTAAACCCGGCCTGCCAATTTACAACGTGCATCCTCATATCCGACCTGGAGTTGACGGGCAGGGGTCTGCTTTCTTCACATGTGCTTTCGAAAAGTCATATCAGGAAAATGTTGAATTTATTGTCTGCCTGAACATCAATGGGAATTGTGAACTAATGAACATCGTGTCTGGATTGACGGATAGTTATAAGTTTACAGTTGCCAGCATCAATGACAACCTGTTCAACAAAAAGGTATAATTACAAACAGGTTAGGTATGATAAAGTGTGTACATGTTAGTAGCGTTTTTACATACTTGTGTAACCTTTACCAATTCTAGGGTTTCGGAACTTTGAATAACTGAAATGGAGTTGCAGTATGACAAAATTAAGTAAAGGAAAAGGTGACAAGTTTGTGAAATAACTCTTGTGACATTATTTGTAATATTTTCTAACAAAGTTACTACAGTCCCTTAGAGATGAATTACCTGTTTAATATTTATGAATAAATTATTTACGAATTGCATCTCTCCAGGTGACGTGTTCCATCCAGGCTCGGTACAAAGGTCAAAGTGGACTGACGAGTAAACTCACCAGTGCACTCTTCATCCCCACCATCAAGGTAGGATCATGTTTATGATACTGTAATGACCCAGCCACTTATAACATTAAACCGTACATTTACCTAAGAAGTGTTCTCGAAGACAGGTATAAAATTGACACTTTTTCAATCAACCCCTTTAAAACACGTCTTATGATTGCATTATTACATGTATTATCAATATTTATTTGCAAATGCATTCCATTCTGTACAGAATATCTATATTAACAAGCACAACCCTGTGTTTTTGTTTTAGCTTATCACTACTGGCAAGCTAGTATTGACCGAGGGGCGGACTCCCCAGTATGTCACCATCAATTCCACAGCTCCCCCACAAATGTTCTGTTGTCAAGGTTGTAAGGGACAGTGTACTATAGTCATTCAGACTCATACTGACTACGATCGGCGTGACAAAAAGTGTGGACAGTTGGTTCTACCACAAGTTATTATCGGATGGAAAGGTCCGAGTCAGACCACAAAAGCGGAGTCATGCGGAGCCTCTCTGTCGCAATCCAACTGGCAAGGCCTAATTCAGATCCCCATCACCGCTATGGTGGATAACATGTACGACCGCGACCACAATACCCACGTGACCGTCCAGGCCCTAGTGACGTTTCCCCGGCAACCCCCGATAGTGACCAGTACTTCGCTTACTCTCAATATCGGTCGCATTGATGTAAGGGTCCTTCTAACCATTGCATGAATTTAATATCATGTAGAGATGTAACATGATGCATTTCAAGATTTTGTGTCATTTTTTTCAATTAATTATTTAACAATTAAGATAGAAAAATATAAATCAATTCTTAAGATAATTATTAATTAAGTGTAGGACATGCTATAGGAAATAAAAAAAAGGATGGGCATTTACATCTTGTAAGGTTAACTTTGGTATAGATATCATGAATAAAATTGAATATTGACGAGTGACTTCTGATATGTTTCATTAGGTGGTTGCTAAGGACAACGACCACAAGTCTATGTGTACATCATTAAATGATCCTCATATCACAACGTTTGACGGCAGGTAAGAACTGTTTCCCCTAATTAAAGGCTTATTTAAAATCCAGACATATATCTATTTAATACGTATGAGCCAATTACGACAAGGTATACGATATCTGAAAGAATTACACTAAAGTTGGATTCAAATCATCATTATCAAAAATTATGTATTACAACATGAATTCTTCAAAAATAACAGTTTCATATTTAACAAAAGCAACGATAAGCATGGTTAGTGCCAACATTTAGGAATTCATTTTTTATTAAATTATGTTTTTTTCATAATAGTACTTATTCGTAAATCCAAGGTTGCATGTATGATTTCTTACGATATCTATTTCCTTTTTTTACAGACGATATGACAATTTCAACACCGGAGAATTTGTTTTGTACCGACATAAGACACTTCCATATGAGGTTGGTTCTCATGAATACAAAATTATGCTTCCGCTCTATATCATAACATTTAACTGGTGAATAACAATTAAATTTGGCTCGTCACAACCTCTAGAACTTATTCAGAACACTCTCATTTCATATACCTTGTCAAGCACGTAATATTTCCTCAACAAAAATCACTAAACAGTAATGTCATTATAATTTGCCAGTAAATAACGTTATCAATATCATTACGGTAACATAAAACGGTAATATCGTATATATTTACAGTGTGAAGTGTAATTGTAACCTTTGTCTTGCCCATTATTTCGGTCACTCGACAATGCTAGACAGTCTCGTGCGCGTAGTAATATGTACATAGAGTGTTTACATGATCCTTCTGCGAAATAGTCCTTTTAAAATGACGGATTTTTAAGCATAAAATTGCAAGATAATTCTGCGCTTGTTTCAACTAGATGTTCATAAAACAAATATTGAAGATGTTATTTTGCAAAGGAAGTAAATGAGGAATAATATTGCTATGTGACAGAGAAGTGTTGACAAACACAAAAATACAATATCGATATATTGATGTCTTTCTATTTTGTTTAAGTTATTGGTGTTAAATGGAATGGTAGTCTGCTTAAGCGATTATTCCTGTTTTCCGAATTCCATTCTATTTATCATCAGGTATTTAAAACAAACCCGAAAGTAAGTTAAAACAAACATTAACTAAATGCATTCCATTTTAATCACTGTGAATTATCTTTGTAACAAATGTCTCTTATTTACAGGTCCGAGCACAGTATCAAAAATGCAGTACTCGGAGACATTCTAATCCCTCATGTAACTGCGCAGTCGCGATAAAATCTGGTGACGATGTAATAACGTTTTCGAGCTGTGGAAGTCATGGCGTCATGGCACCCCAACCCCAACATGGCCACCATGGTCATGACCGTCACCACCACCACCAACCGGCACCAACTCCAATCACGATACAGATGTTTAAGAACGGTAAACTCACTCCCGGCACTGTCATCCGTCGACTGGGATGCGGACAAAAGTATGAGGTAAGCAAAACTAACTTCTACCTAATATCCGTACTACTTTCGCATATGATGTTAAACACGTTTGAAAACTGAAACAATTTTAAAGCGATATTACCTAGAACTTGATCGTTTTAAACTATTACCAATTATCTCTTAACTAAACTCAACTGATATACCTTAGGTACATCTACCTACCGGCACTGTCGTAACAATCCAATCCAGCGCGCGACCCTTCCTCAACATCTGGGTTAAACCTTCCAGCTTGGATTACTCACAAACGGAAGGTAAGATTGTCACGATAACCAAGCAAGATACTGATTATTTCTGTGGTTAGAGAATATATGTATATATATATTTCAATTTCCTAGTTGGACTGTTAGATAGTTAATGCTTTTCACAAAATGCTCTGGTTAAAACGAGAAAGCTTTATATTAGGAGAAGGTGCTGTTTTAAAATCTAGCTATGTTTGAAGAGGTCGGTTTATGATGTATCATTACTTTATGATCATGGAACATGGTTTATACTGTAATATACACGATTATATCATCGTTACAGAGATGCAATTTTAGAGTTTTGATTTTCTGAAGGCCCCGAAATTCGAACTTATGTTTTGCAAGAACGTCGGAATTACTGACATGTATAACAGTATCTTTTGTAATATAACTATATATGACAATGTTAAACAGCATTCAAATTATCAACTCCGCAGGTCTTTGTGGCGTTTACGACCGAAATAGGGGAAATGACGTCCTCGACAATCGTGGTAGACCCATTCCTGAAAGTAACCGCCATCCAGATGAGTTCTCGATGAAATGGCAGTAAGTCTTGTTAATTCCTGGTTATCGAGATCTGGGAAGCCATTCAACACTTCACTCTTTTATCAAATCAATACCCTAAATGCTAACAGCCAAAACATTGATATAATTAATATATTTAAGTCTATATTTGACCCACTTTGTCCTTGCTTAATTGTATACAACGGCCTGACAAATTCAGAAGTAGTATGTTTTAGGGGACCGGGGGTTATATTAGTATGTTAAATGGTTTACGATATCTAGAAATTATTTTCTATCTATTATATTTGCGTGTCTAATGGTTTCTTGACAATGGCTTTTTATGTTGTTATATTTGTTCCAGCGTCAGTTCGGGAGCGAGTATTTTCACTGGAGTACCAGCAGCCACCGTTCCTGGAATCACTCGCTTCTGTAGCTGTGTCCAGGGTCGCCAGGTGTTTTGTGTTAACAGTCACGGCACCATGAGGTGTCTAGAAACACGTACGTGTTGGCTAAACCTGGTCTTATTAAGACATAAATGTATTATTGATTTGATAAATTGCGAAACTAGTACTTAATAAAGTTTTAATTTTATGAAAGTTTTCGATGAAGATAAGATACATATATATTTCTTGTGTAAAAGGTTTCTTTTACCCTTATTTATCGTCAAGCTTATTCAGTATGATAGAATTGGGGCCTGGTAATTGTGTTGAAGTTAGATATTATTGATGGAATGAAACTAACTACATATGATTTGTAGGGATTCAATGCGACCTATCAATACTTTTAACCGGTGTGATACGACCAAGATTGAATACAATCTACACAGTAGAAATCTGATGGCCGCCATTATAACCTTATTTCAAACTCAAGTTGGTTTCATCTTCTATTTACTTTGTTGTGTTCTTACTTCGTTTTCTGTTGTCGCTATGGTATTTTTTTTCTGTATCATAGCAGTTGTACCCTATCTGTTCCAGGAGGAAGTCCAAGTTTTGATTTTTTTTATAAACAGAAACATCGTTTACGTTAATGATCGAGTTGCTAATATACAGGTTACGACATCACTAGGACGATAGAATCCCAGGCCAGACTACCTCAGCTTGGTGGTAGGGGCAGAGGTAAACGTCAGGCCTCAATTACCCCAGTCACACCAGAGGTGTTGCCGCAGGTATGCCATAGTATTTATCATATAAACAGTAAATATCGCAATTACAGTATATATTACATAAAGTATAATACCAGCAAATAATACAGTAATAAAGGATAACACAATTACAGTACATATTCAAAAGTTTATTTTTACAATCATAGTATGTACTTCATAAAGTATATTACAATCACAGTATATATAACATAAAGTATATAACAATTACAGTATATATTTCATTTACAGTATCTATTATAAAAAAATATCTGTATATAGTAGTATCAGAATTAAATGGGATAACATATTTGCAAATTGTTTACATCGCATTGTTTGGGTCGTTTTCACTTCAATTTTCGTTGGACGATTAAGAGCAAGAAAGGAAAAGCTTAATCAATAAATAACTATAAACAAACGAAGTGTACGTATAAACAAATCATCTTGACATCATCTTGATCAATATTTCAAAAAAGTGTTTCGAGAACAGAAGCATACGCAAGGATTAAAGAATGGATTTCTTGTTCTTATATACTTTAATAGTAAAATGTCAACATGTCTGACTGCATGATTACCCGTGTGTTCTTAAATTGATCTCAGAACACTTTGAACTACACACTGGATGAAGCTAAAGATGTATGTTCTAATGCGATCTATAACAACTCGGTGACCGTCCAGTGTGACAGCGTGGTGAATGGTTCCGACATTTCAGAGAGGATAGACAACTGTGCGGCCGACTTATACGTACGTCTGACACTAATAATATATGTTGTTGTTTGGTTAAAGGTGATTTACAGATTTTCTTCTTATGTCCAAAAGGTTTTTAGCTTAACTATCACACAATCGTAAGCTACCGAAATATTTCAGAATATATAATAATTCAGCTAACTTTTATGAGCCTGACTAAAAATGTTAGCTTTACTGCGTTGTCATGGATACGGCAAATGCATTATGTCTCCTTTTTTATATTTATAGTTCATTTCACCAGTAGTATTTATGAATGTTCAGAATTTCATTTGATGCAGAAAATAGCTACATTGTATGTTGCTTTTCCTCCATCAAATAGTTCATAATGTACCGACAATTTGATAATATATGATGATGCCATACTTTAAGTCCCTGGTATTTTAAAAAACGTTTTAAGAAGACACTTAATATATTCCAAAATCTGACGAGGACATGATATTAACATACGTTCCTCCATGTTTGTCTCGTGAAAGGTTTACTTTTCCGTCTTTGCGTATTGCAGAGTTATCTTCTCTTGGGAGCAGGTATTGATTGTTACGTCATTTGTTTGTGTGAGAAAATTACGTCGTTTTCTCAAAAATTGATGACGTTACTCNTGTTAACATTGTAAATGACCATGTTCTTTAAAAATAATTGTGTCCTTTCGCAGTCTACTGGTGACGACGTCTGGGCACTTGATTCAATCAAGGACATCATGGAGGAATGTTTGGGAGAGGTGGACAAGACTCCAGTGAACGGGTCGAACTCCAGTGTACCTGTCATTGATACCTCTAGTCTTTGTAGTGAGGACTGCCAAAATGGAAACTGTACTCAAGGTAAGCAGTCATTGACTGTGCTCATTTTCATTGAGTGATTTAATATGTTTTAGTATATTTATTCTTAATCTACTCAATTGATTAATTAACATCTAAGTAGCAACTAACGACTGATTATGTGTCTAAATATATCGATCACATATGAGTTGAGTAATCCTTCTTGCTCGAAGAGATAATTCGGTGCCGATACAAAATAATACTTAGCATCCTTCCAAATATCTAACGGTTTTACTGAGTGTAGCGGAACTGGACTCGGAGGGTCTGGGGTTCGAACCCCGGTCAGGCGGTGCATATTTCCTCTCTTGTTACATTTGGTCAAACCTGCGGCGTATGATACTAGCATTCTATGTCGTGGTGTAAGAATACCTGTCCAACTGCAATGTGGTTTTCCTATATACAGTTACCTTCATTAGCTTCCTCCGTTTGGATATAACTCTCGCATAGTTTGTCGAAGACACTTCTGTCAACAAGGTAGCTTATTAAGTTAGAGCGATTGTATAAGAAAGTGAAGTCCAGGGTTCGATTCCCGGTCTAGCCCCGCTGAAGTTTTATATTCAGAACACTTGTTGATTGATATTTTGTTTATTTCATTTTTATTAATTCTAATAAACGTCTTGCAAGGTATGGACTTCTTTCCAGAAATTATTTAAGTTTCCAATACTCATTTACAGTTATTGACAGTGGTACGAGGATCCTTACATGTCTTAATGATGTTTACTTTATGTTATTTAACGTTACTGTTATCACGTGTTGTACAGCACAAAAAATAAATTACACATTACACATATTTACATTTGATTAAAGCATTTACCTTATCTATTTTGCTATTACCTAATACATAGTCGATAATAATGTTATTTGTATAGATATTGGTGGCCCTTGTAGTTGATGTCGAGTTATATCAAAGTTTTCACGCATTGTGAAGTAACAGTAGAAATGTTCTCCACTACAAACCTTCGTTAACTTATTAAGGAGTGTGTCAGTGCGAGCCTGGATTCGCCGGAACTGACTGCTCGGTATCCGCCAGAAACACCACACCGACGGTAAACGCCATGCCAGTAAACAATGTCGGATGTGATGTGAGACATTCTAGCGACAGGTGTCAGACAGTCATGATCCTGGGACAAAACTTTGTTGAATCACCTACCCTGACTTGTCACTACACGTATATCAAGGTATTATTTTAACATTATTATATATCCAATTGTGACATAACCAAAGGAAATACTGCAAAAAGTTCGCGGAGTTGTTGGACTTGTTCGAAAATTGGGCAAACAGAAAACGATTTGAACACAAAACTTATGAAAATTACAATGTATGTTTAAAGTTATATCTATAACGTAATTTCCTTGACACAGGTAACATCTTCAGTAGAATCAATTGGACTCGAGACTACAGTTTCTGCAAACTTCACGAATATGTACCAAGTATCATGTCGTCTGCCCGATGCTAATACTGGAGCCTTGATAAGAGTGAGCAATGATGGTGCTACACAGAGCACCAATCAGTACCTCCATCTTGTGTTCGACTCAATCTGCTACCAATGTTCGATCGCTAATGATACGTCGGCATCCACGTGCAGTCGAAAGGTAAATTACAAACTTCAGGAACTGAATGTTGTGGAATAAAAGTTATTTAAATCCAGAATGAGAGGATTTTATAGCGAGGCAATGAAGTTGATATAATAATGCAATATGCTTATAGAAGTCACTTAACCTGCAGGAGTACATGGTCTTATTCTTTTTGCTTTACTGCTCTGATTAAATCTGTTTTCAGTTCCATTTAAATTTTCGTTCACACTTAGATTATCTCATATTTTTCTTTAAGGTTAGTCACAATGATTATTTCAACTGGAAAAAAATAGTATATTTAGAATTGTAATAGTTACCTGCTATATTATAAAGTCACGTGATAGCGTAAGTGGTAGTATTGATATAATGATTTGTTGTTTTTCCCTCACCCCTTTCTAAATTCATTTTCTCAAATAATGTTCTAGGGTGATAGCTGTGTTATCGACGAGGCCTGTTATGGTAAAGACGAAACTAAACCCGGGGAGAAGTATCAGGTTTGCAAGCCTGACAAGAGCGAATCCTCGTGGACTGATACATGTAATTCAGGTATTTATTTGTTTATCCATCTTTCAATTTGCTAATTTGTTTAAACAATTTCGAAACTTTACGACAACTTAATGAGTACACTGCAAAATCATAATGTTTTGCGCAATTCTTATTTTACCGCTTTTCATGCTTTAAATAATGCGCTAAATTATGATTGCCCTAGTTGAGATTTCTGTATAAAGCTTCTATTGCATATATTTTGATTACGCCAATTCATCAATGCGATTATATGTTTAAATTCGATAAAACACTAACAGCTGAGTTCGCTTAAATAAGAAATTTAACGGTACCTGAACAGTTCGTTTTGTTTAAGCAACTGTGAACTGTATCGTCGGCTTACGTCAGAGCTTGATATCGGTCTTTGTAAATACTGTACAATAAATAATTGTATTTATGAAATGATTTTGTGTTTGCTATATTTGTAAAAATAAAGTTGACATATTCTCAGCATCATCACTGCTATGACGTGTATGTGTTACAGACCCCGCCTGTAGTCCATCAGTACAGGCCTCAAAACAGGACGAGGACAGCACTTTCGACCAGACGGAAATCGTTATCCTAGCAGTAGTGTGTGGAATCCTTGGATTCTGTTTACTCGTGGCCATCGGATACATTGTGAAAAACAGGTAATTATACCCCTATATGTACGGAGAGAGAGGTATATAGTAATTGTCTGTACGTCCGTTTGTGCGTGTATGCGATGGTTGGTTTGTGTGTTCATGTGTCCGTATGTAGTGAAAAGCTTGTGTACATAATATCTCATGAAAGTATACAAGTATGTATAAGCTTGAGTAGATGTTTACATATTTAATTATTATATATTACCCGAAGTAATCATTCTACTCTCTGAATATTGTGTAATACTACCATCAATGCTTTCATGTTAAAATCTCTTTATATAAATTATATACATTACTATCTATGCTATCTATTATTTACTTTATTCACTTTGACTTGTATATATGTGGTACCTATTGGAGAGGACTTATATAGGCTTGCCTGTTGTCCAATCCATTTGTTTTCTAACCAATAAAATTTGTTGAAATGAAATCTCATGAACCCCTGAACATATTTTAGTTCCTATTTACTCCATAGTACGTTAATATCGAGTTCTTTACCTGATTTGATATCGATGGTCATCGGTCAAAGATAAAGGATAAAAAATCACGGACAAATATAACATTTTTCCAATTTTGAAGTAAACAGCTTGTGTAAATGGTTTCTCACAATCCTTTAGGACAACTTAAATTTATATTCACATCATCATTGGTTTCTACACCTGCTAAGATGTATGTTTGTTTTAATCACATTTGGACTATCCAATGCCATGTAGTAGTATTTTGTATACATTTGACTAGTATTAAGAAATTCAAAATAATTTTAATTTGGTTGTATTCCTTACTTTGGCGACAGAACGAAGAAGCCGAACCACAAAAAGTACACAGTTCATGAAGAGAAAACGGAGAATATACCGGAAGTAGCCTACGATAACAAAATGTATGCGGACAATACTTACAGAATGTAGTCAATCGAGATTTGTCATTTGTAATTTTCGAAGGAAAATATGTAAATGGAAAGTAAACCTTTAATAAACGTTTGTATTATGTAAAAGACATTTTCTTTTACCTTTCTAAGTTCACGTAAGTAATATATTCTTTGTGTATGTACACTTTTCTTTGATGTTAACCAGTATTCCTTTTCGAAACTCATAAATAAAGGGGTTTTACGCACATTCCTTCTGTTCCAACAGTTGTTTAAACCAACTTGGATTTCCAATTGTTTGACCCTAGTATCAACGATGAGTGGTAGAAGGACGAAACAGCTGTATGGTTCTGTGTAATTCATTTGTGCCATGCTGTATCTATTACCAAATTGTATAGGTGAAGTCCCAAGTGTGTGTCTTAAGTTCATTTTTTTATCAATGTAATACCTCATCTTCTAAAAATATGATTATCAGTAAACATGCAGAAAGGACCAGTAATTAATGTACACCTTCAAAAATATGTGTTTGATTAAGGAGCATGAATTTATTTTATCTTAATTTGATATTATAGTTAGATAATGCAATATTCAACAATGTAAAGATGCACTTCATTCATTTGGATTGGTTTCAGACACCCATATGCTTATCTCTACGTTGGTTCATCCTAACACGTAAATATTTTGTAGAAAATACGTTATAGTGCTCACATACATATAGGGGTGCTTTGCTAGTGACACACAGTGATATATACATATCGATCCGTCCTCTTAACAATAATATAATAGTACGATCCGGAGTATACATATCCGTATTTGTCCTATCGATTTTAATTTGACAACACTCGGCTAATGCTAGATCATTTATAATGTAACACTATCGTATACCACGCGTGGATACTTATTACAACATGAAGACGCCGCACCCATCTTAGAAATTTCGACAAATATACGCTCTTTGTAATTACTATTAAATCAGATGTGTTTAACATGTGTACGACATCAGTAACATGTGGCAATATCATTCTGTAATGTTTTATAACAAAGAGAACATTGACATGATATGACAATGGCAATTACGTTCCTGTTTTATTTAACATTGTGTTAATCAGCACAATCATACATTTATACCGCCTTGTTATATTTTTCTTTAGTTAGCATGATTTTATATGAAAGACAATTAATTACTAAAGTGATATTACAATTAATTACGAAAGTGACCATACACGTTTGTGTTAAATATCCCTCCAAATAATGTATTGCAATACATGTTCTGTCAACGACTACTAGAACCAAATTACATATTTAGAGTTTCATTTTTTTTTTCTTATAGATCATCATGTAAGTAAGACAATACAAGAATATCAATCAATAGAAATATCAAGGTAAATGCACATATTGATATTTAAATTATCTTTACGATCTTTGTAAAGCAAAACAATGTATTTCATTAATAAAATTTGAGAAATGTATATGCCTTTTTTTCTTTATATTTAAACTTCAAACAAATAAACTTCATACTATATGCGTTTAACATTCCTGTTTAACAATAGTTTTATTCAGTTGGTTCTTTGCGTTGTTAATTCAATATCATTAATCAAAACAATGTCAAGTACGACATATTTATACAGAACATGATATCTCACTCTGATCTCCAGTCTACAATCTTATTGTGGCTCAGTCTGGTATTGTGGAATCGAATCATTTGTCTCGACATTTTTTTAATGACGTTCCTCTGTGCTCGACAACATGACACTACATGATTGTGATATATGTGACGGTGCTTGCGGAGTTATGAAGTCATATCTGAGTAAAGGTTGCATCTATTTGCCAATATAATATTACAGTTTGTATTTATTCCCGTTTATTTTCGATAATGCTTTGCTTTTGAATGGAACACAACGTTATGAATAAATTTGCTTATCAAAGAAATAATGAACAATACAAAAATATACCGCTTGTATACCATCAGAATATGAAAGATAAAGAAAGACACGACACTATCCCAATAGTCTAACTTAACATTCGTATTATAGAGGCTGTTTTGCGCGAAAACCACAGAAAGTTTAGAGATGTAATGATATAATTTGTGTCATCACGAAATGTTCTGCAGCTTCACATCTATATGTCGAATGTAACATACCTGCTTTCCCTAATCAGTAGTAGCATACTTACTTCCCCTCATAGGAGCGGTCTGTTGATGGAGTTAACATATTTGATATAGACAGTTCTCTTCTCGAGAAACTTAAAACTACCATGAAGTAATTATACTACAGGATCTCCAGTTTAATGAATTGATATATGCACATGTAGAGTGGGTTTGTTTATTGGAGACCTATATACTTTCATGAGTTTGACTGGAGATGTAATAATGGGTGTCACATTAGCTTCAGGAAACGGGATTTTGACTGAAAACAACCAGAGATCAGTTGATATATTTCCTATGGTAACTCTCTGTTATTCATGGGATCCTTCAACGTCAGATGGCAAAATTGTGTTTCATTTCATAACACAGATGTACGTAAAGATCGTAAATTATAAACTTGAAGAAACATATCTTGGGGCAGATTCTGCAATTACACAGTGAAGTATAACATTATCTTTGTTAATCACGTCTGTTTTTTTCAAAACATTTTAATGCTTGTATTGTCCTCGTAAAAAGCATTTAAAAGAACCATCCTAATTTCTATTTATAATGTGTAGCCTAACTATTCTTAAAATAGTACACAACAACACAACAAAAAATGCAGCAATAAAAAGTCCATTCTAGAAATGCATGCTTCCATCCAAATGATATAAAATCATACTTCATAGCCAGAGTCGATTTGCTAATAAAACATAATAACAAAAAAAAGTAAACGAAATCCCATGTATGTATCCTATATAAGTATAAAGGCAACATAGTTTCCATCAAAGTAGGAAGGAAGTTGGACGCAATAAAGTGTTGCTTTGAAACTGTACGACCCTCCCTACTATGAGAAAAAAAATAGGAGTTAGATGATGACAGTCAGACGATGCTCACATCGTGTCGCCTTTGGCTGTATTAGCAAATTAAAATTCAAAATAAAGCTTATCTCATCAACTCTACTCAAATAAGTTAGATTGTCATCTGTTAAGTTCGTAATGCAAATATAGGCATTTTACAATCCAGTCTTAATGAACAATCAAATGACTTTTTACTTTGTATAACAAGTGTGGTTCATTTGCAAACATTATTCGGTGTAAGGCATGCTTTCTATGCTCAAACATACAACATCTGCCCTCTCCCATTAACAATACACATATACCATGGGCGATTCAGGTTAACGCAGTGGTACGCTAATCCATTATTAATTAAATACCTGTTTATTGACAGTCATACGGTTAGCAAATACCTATCTACTAAATAGGTCTGCAACTGTCTTATAATGGAAGCTCACCGATAAGGCTTGAGGTCTGCTCACTTAGAAAAGTACATCAATTGGGCGTCATATTGGCATAATTTCCACGTTCGATAGGTGTATACTATTTGACTTTACACACAAATGTTACAGTAAAGATAGAAATACAATAATAAAGGATATTTTTTACACATAAAGGCAATATTTAACTAATGAAGTAACAGTAACTTCCTTTTTCGTATTGGCCGGGTTATTTGGTGTCTTGGTTTCGTGTTGGCCCGGGCCGGAAATAGTCCTTGGAACAACATATTTGTCAATACAGGAAACGGTACTTCTAACAGGTAACATCAGAATCAACATAAAAATAGATTTGACATGTGGCCTTTTTATGTGCTTAAAATTTCAAAAGATCTGTATGAACCGCAACGCTGGAAAACATTCAAACATAATACCTTATATTGGTTTTACACAATCTATAACATTCGATAATTATGTTGTTACATTAAAAGAAAAAAATATCATACTTTCAAAAATTCAGTTGTAAATATTGTTAGTCAAAAATGTCTGTGATGTACCAGAGCAAGGATACTCGAATGTAATGACCGATCGATTTTACTTCAATTGAATAAAGTGTCAATCGTTGTCATTTATTACATTTAAATCATATTTATCAAAAGTTTCAAACACAGAAATGTGTCTTAGACTTAAGAACCTACAGAAGCAACTTATCTATTCACTTTGCAAGTTTCGTGGAAACATTGTCATGGATAATTGATTAATTGTTTTTAAGAGTATGTTAATCTATTATTCTATAATTATAATTATGGCGATGTCAATATTGAATATGAAAAAGTATATATATCATATATTGAACACGATAAGCAGTGATAATGACGTACGGTGTTATTAATTCATGCCTCCTATCAAACATCAAATATATGTCCTCGGTAAAGTCGCCTCGGGAAAGATGTGTATCGTATACAAGTGACCTGACGCCAGTTGTGTTTATTGTTACAACCCTGAAAATATATTTACTGGCAGTGAACCCCTACTTGATTGATAGTAACATAATATGTATATTGGACGGTTAGGTTGTAACACTAAACTTACCTTGACCAACACTATACTGACCATTACAACGATTGTCCGAAGGGAGAACAATCACCGTGACAGCAGTGATACTGAAGGCCATTACGTGTCACCTGGCCGACACTCCGTTGTTTGTCAGTAAGAATGTTATACCTAAGCTATGGATGGCCGAGGTGAAGGTAATGCGGAAAAGGTATAGCATGGACATTTGCAATGTCATTAATTAAATCGGCGTGCATCATCTAAGACTACAAGGTAACCAAACAAGCGATATTCTGTTATATTGTTCCTCGGGATTGCCACAAGCATATCTGTATAAATTAGCTTTCATTATCATTCCAGTAAAAGATTCACAAAATATAGGAGGTTTCGTGATATCAAAACCAAATTTTAATGCTAATTTTGTATGCTTAAGTTCTCTTTTAAACAAAAACATTAATAAAACAATTGTAACAATAAGTGAAGGTGACCACCGGCCATCTATAATTCGACTAAGAAGATGTGGCTTGAGATAAAAGCCACATACATATCCTAATCATTGGAAAGGAAAACGTTAGTGATTATAAGTGATTTGTCAGTGTTATGAAGTTTATAATTATCATTATATAAAGTAGAAGAATAAAACTTAATAATTAGTTAAGTTTGTACGGAACAAAAAAATAAAATGTGAAAGTTTGTACGGAACAAGCAACTCAAATGTGAGAGTTTGTACGGAACAAGCAACTCAAGTACGAGAGTGTGCCAAAGGTTTCTATCTATAGCCTGGGCCTCTTTCGAATATCATAATGGTATTTATATTCATTACGTCGATAAATCAAACTATATGTTGATAATCCCCACGGGGACATAGGATCCACTGGCAGCGACAGCGACCTAGTAGAAGAAGTGAAATACACGGAATACCAAATTTTAGCATTGGACAACGATATTTGAGGCCTTAATTAATGAAACATTGACCAAATTTTAACATTTGACATTCATGTTGTTTTGGAAAAAACACACCGATAGAATCGGAGGCCTAAATATTATATGTTGAAATTAAAAAGTGTGAAAATGACTTACATATACTCTAAACAGAAATTTATTCGAGATTGGTTCAGGAAATAATGTGAAATTTTCTATACCAATTAGAGTATTCTGAATTTGTACACGTCGATTTGTATATTTCTAAACAGTGGTGGATTTTTCGTACTTCTACAACTTGGCAACTAATTATATCTTTAAAACAATATCAAGAATTACAACTCGAAATCGAAAACACTAGGGCTTAATATGAACAGGAGAAAGTTTTAAATGGATATCCTTGAACAAGTACAAGTACAAGAATAATAAGACCAGGTGTTTCGGAAGGGTTAGCTTCTTTTGCTTCATGAAGCATAAAATATGAAGAGTTAAAAAAGTAAAGTTGTAAAAGAAAAGAGTAAATACAAACGGAATACATTCAATGTTTCTCCAATTTTATTCAATTGTTCTGTTAAGTTCCTTTTTGAAGACAAAAGACACCAGATCTTGATCTTGATAATTGGTCTGTAGGTATTAAATGACTGCTTTTCTAATAAACAAATTGATATATTTTGTCTGACAGTATAGTCAAGCCAATACAAGGAGAGGGAGAAAGGCGGTAGGGTCGGGTTTTGTACGTTTTATACTGGAGTCAGGTAGAATAACGACAAAACATCTCAAGAGTAGCATACAATTAATCTCGTCCTTATAGCCACTGCGCATCTATGTACATTATTTTGTTGTACATTGTATATGCCTTACCACTTCCAAATCATTTTTAAGGTGTTTTTGGAATTACATAATTGCTTTTCCCCGGAAAAAATGATACATTGACCTCCATTCAAATTAAAAGACTCAAATGTTTTAGAATACTCCAATAGATCTGTAAGAAAATGCATTTTTTTGTTTAGAGTTAAATATTTTATGTTATAACTGTTGGTGCTTTTGAATAAAAAAGCTGACAAAAAGGAATCAACGTTACATGAAAAAGACCTCAAATGTCTGTGCTTTACAAAAAAGGTTACTTTAATGGACGCAATAGTTAAAACGTCATGACCACGAAGGGGTAAATAGAATATTTACCTTCGTGCAATACATGCTGCACGCTATAAAACAGGTGTGCTGAACTTATCAATAGGTTTTGGTCAGTGAATCGTTTACACTTATGAAAGGCGCTTTGCTTCCAACAATTAAAAAAGGTTGTTTTTTTCGAAACGGCGAGCAGAGGTATTCTTGACTATGTTTATGCCTGTGTCATGATTATGCTGTAAGCGTTGTGCACGCGTGAATTTCACGATGAAATATAACACCCGAAAACCTGACTGTTGACCCTAGCTCTGGTGAAAATTCAGTCAAAACTATCAATAAGAGTCCAATAACGGTGGAAAGGTGGCTGTCGACATTGTCATATAGTATGAACATGGAGCCGTCTACTATTCACTCTTTATACTTTTTGTATTAAAAAGATTATATCTGGATAAGCTAAGCAATGTAGGATATTTATTTTAATTTCATGTACCTTTATCAATAGATCGATTGACAAGGAATATATGACAGAGACATTCCGTATAATTGGAATGATTTGAATTAACTTCTGTGTATGACAGAGACATTCCGTATAATTGGAATGATTTGAATTAATATCTATGTATGACAGAGACATTCCGTATAATTGGAATGCTTTGAATTAACTTCTATGTATGACAGAGACATTCCGTATAATTGGAATGCTTTAAATTAACTCCTGTACATGATATGACCTGGTAACAGGTGTTTACATAATTCTCAAAGAGGAGCGACAAGAGAATACGGATGACAACAGAATCAAGAAAGAAACAAAAATAAAACCGATAGCGTGTTCTACATTCACATCGATATATAAGCTTATAATTCATATAGCAAACTGGGGGAGCTGTCCACTTATTAGTTAGTCACCTAACAAATCAACACCGTTTGAATACAACTGATTATGTTTTCTTGAAACAATATTTCATTTAAACTGTGCAAGAAAAAAACTCGGGTACTCGTAGTCGACCAGCAGATTCAACCACCTGTTATTATGAATCTGTCACTATTTCGATAATTCGACGAAACCTTATATAATTAGAGAAGTGATACATAGATAAACGCTAAACGAACTGCAGTTATTCGACAAATTGAATTTCATGTAAGCTATGTGGATTCTTATAGTGGTTATTTATATATTATAAAATAGGACCGATTCTATCTAATTATATCATTTTAGGCTCAAAGTTTCTTCTTTTACGGTTTTAAATGTTTCAATAACGATTCATAAACAAATAAATTTAATCTAAACATAAGTGAAGGGGTGCATCATTAATTATAAAGTTATCGTTCGTGCCTTTATGGTATCTACCTTTTACGTGTATGTTTTGCGAATTTAAACGACATGGTTGCACGTCAAATAATTTTCAACCCAAAAGATAAAAAACGCTAAGGTTTGTTATTCCTTATCTTACATAGTTTTGGGTCGTAAATATAGTAATGAAATGTTGATAATCAATCGTAATTTTAATAAACGAAATCAGTCAAATTTCTTTATAATATTGATAAGTTTTAGTGCATAAGTGCATAGGTATTTAAAGTATGCTTTAGAAAAAGTAAAACCAATTTAAAATCCTTTAATCGTTTCGTGCAATCTTCAACATTTGACAAACACTTTAAAGTTACATGTAGTGCGATCGCTATATATATATACGATTCTGAATGCTCCGTCATCAGTATTCGTCGGTCAGCTGTGATTGATGGCGGCACTAAAGCTGTAAGTAGGCCGCGCGTTTATGTGCGATGACATATGTAAGACCAGCAATGACTAGGAAAAACCACAGAGATGAAACGGACCTGATATTTATGTGGTGCGAAACTCACACATCATACGTAAAATATAGATGTCACTGCATATATTAAACCGCATTGCTGTTCTTACACTATTTCCAACTATTGCAAAAATTCATTGCTTTCAAGCGAATAAGAAAGGAATGATAATCTGGTCCTTTATATTGCTAAAACTGCAGGATGGACAGCTTGAAACACAACTAGAATTGCAAATAGCTACTATTTTTCGAGACAATAGGAAACAAAATTGTTCCAATCATTTATTATTTTTTGTACCGTAAATTATTCTTGTCTTTCTATCAAATTCATGTGAAGTTCACAGAAAGAATATCATTCACACATCATGACGGTGATTATTATCACAAAGTGTTCACGAAAAAAGCGGTATTTCAACTTTGGGATGTTTTGCATAAATGGAACCATATCGACAATAAGGCAAGAGAAAGCAAATTACTTCTACGAGGAAACAACAAAATTCCTCCTATATAGTTAGGGGGAGAAAGTCAAATGGTTGCCAAAACATTCCAAACGTATGTATACGTGATGTATACTGGTATATTTGTTTGTTATATACATAAAACCATAGCATTTGACAGTGCAAAGTAGTAAAAGATTTCTTCAAAAAAGGATAAATATTCCTTACATCAATTGATGTTTTAAAACGAAATAAACAAACGCCGTCAATAATATGCCACAAACGTTTGAAAAGTACTATTCTTCCATTGGATAATTTTTTATAATGATTTTTTTGCTCTGAATAAAAAAAATAAAACAAAATGAAACAAAAGTCAGGATATCGCGTAGTGTAATAAACGTAATTCGAACTCAAACTAAAACAAGAGCAAAGAGTTGTTACCTGTAAATAGAGGTCACTGATCAATGAACATGTACACGGAGCCCCTTCCACAGGTAAAAGGAGAGTATAACCAAGTGTTCCGGAAAGATGAGCCAGTTTTGCTTCATCGACAACAATTGCCCTGTATATCTATCTATGTAAAATGAATTACTATGACATTTTCATACTGAGAACCAGGGTTCTGACAACTAATCCACAGGACAAACTAATGAACATAGTCAACATATCGTATAATGAATAAAAGTTATTTGTTATTAGACTACAATGGAGACCATGAAAGTAATCCAAAATCTTCATTAATCTGCACGTCTTGGAAGTTCGAAACCATTGAAATATTTCATGGATGACGGATGTTCGGGCACTTGTTAATAGCATATCAACTGCGACTGGCAAACATCGTAGGTCGGGGAACTAGGGATTTTACTGTCAAGAAAGGGAAATTTCACGATTAAATTTAGTTTATGGGTTAGTAACATCTAATGATAGATGGACGAATATTGGTTTATTTGTTGATTCAAAGGTATGAAAGCACACAAAAATACCAACAACATTGAAAAAAATATTTGTCAGGTTAATGCCGTCATAAATCGTTAGTTGTCACTGCCATCAGTCTTAAGAATATTTTCTCAACAAAATTGAAAATATATAATAGATTACAAAAGAGATATTTGTATTTTGTCAAATAAGATCATATGGGATTAGTATCATTCAGCTGAAATAATTTTTCATCATAATTACATTGACGTTGTTTTTATGCATGATATAACTTAATGTAAAAGGAAAGCTGGTACTTTTATTATCAAAATTGTAAATGAAAGAGGGAATGCTACGAGCTTTTCCTGATGAACTAATACCTAGTATGCCAATTAGAAGCTGATCTATGTCCAGTTTATAGGGGTTGTAATTTTCCAAGCATGACATTGTCATGTCGGGTGCTGAACATTTTATATTGGTTATGTTCCATTGATAATATTGTTATGTTGGATGCTGAAAAGTTTGCACTGATTAACATGAATACGCTATTGATACAACATTCATACGGCACTATCGTTTAAGCGCATACTAACACCTCCCTCTTAATGTACTGTGATTAACAGCTACCTCATACATCCCATTTCTGATGGATAATGTCTTAAAAAATAAATTGTAACAGCTTATGTACATCCGTTTTTGTTAAAAACAGTTCATCATAGTTTGACCTAGTGTTAGAATTACGGTTCTATTGACACTTGGGTTATTTTAAGGCTTGTCCCATTGTAAATACTACATCCAGACTGACACCAATTCAAAGCACGTGTGCTTCTGAAAGGTCTTTAACATGATTATCCCGGAGAAATGAACGGAGACGACCTTCTTACTCTTCAAATGAATACAATATTCGGTCAGCTAACAACATGTTGATGACCGTCTAGGCAAGGTTAAATACACCAAAAACATTTTCATTTTCCATATTATGGAAAAGAATGATAATTGATGTCTATCATGATCCGACAGAAATCAAATGACTTACTGACAGTGTAGATAATGAATTAGACATTGTAGTATAAGCACCTTCATTTCTTCTTCTAGACACCTTACATCACTTCCTTTTTTCTTCCTACTTTTTTAATTGGGGAAGGGACAATGACATCTCCCGGGGTTTTTTTGGTGTGTCTTCGTTTCCGGTTGTCATTGTTGCTAACTTTTTCTGAGCGACTGATTTTATAGTGCTTTCATTTTAAATTAAATTACGGTGATCATTTATTCCAGAACGTGGATGATCTTTTTCAGCTATAAAATATCAAACTTTTTGTACGAGAGAACAAAAATGTACATCAATATAACTTTGGCTCAGAGTTTTATTAATAATCTAATTACGGCTGTCAACAATTCTGTCAAACACCCCAGTGACGACTGCACCACGAGTAATCATGTTTCTCTCGGTCAGTAAGCATGTCGCTAATAATAATATCTATGTGACAACTTGTCAAGGCAAAAAGAACTATAGTGAAGATGAATGGCATGTAATCGATATAGTTTCCTGGGTACTGATTGACAGACAGATATATTTTTGAGTTCTGCTTCACATACGTCAGCAATAAACTTGTCATCGCTTGCTCATCACTTGATGTTGATTGTTGCATTGTCAATGCACATTTGGACACAGATACCTGCATTAGCATATAGGAGTGTCACCGGTCATTGTTGATTGCGGTTAGTCATCACACCTTCCGTGTTCCGGCGAAGGTTATCCTGATGTCCAGTGAGACGAATCTTGATTGAACCATTAAAACGTCAAAGACCTGTATATATACTGTGTGTGCGCACTGTAGTAGCACTCCACTCCAGCTGTTCTATCCTGCACGTAAGTACACTTATTTGTAACAGTAGTCGGTAACATACTCCTATATTTCGGTAAATCCTAAGTAGCTTAGTTGGAAAATGTATACTTTGGGCTTCATTTAAAAAAAATCAAGGTTGTGTTCAAATTATTTCGTTCGAAATTCAATTGTAGTAGAATGTTGTTAAATTTCTGTTAAGAGGACACATTTTGACAGATTTTTATATTCAACATACACTAGAACAATTTTATGAATATGGTGTACTAAGATTACCGATGTCTACACTATAAACCCACTATTTCATTGATTCTGTCTCAGAGTGAGATTATTTATCAAAGCTTCTACTGTAAAACTCACAATTTGGTATTGAGTTAGATATTGTTCATATCAGAATTTACTTACTTTCAGTTATCCTAACGTTAAATTTGTGACTTCTAACGTTCGATTCAAGATTAATTTAACTAGATATATGACTACTAAAGCAAGGTCTTGACAAATTAGTGTTTATGCTGCTTTAGTAAGTAAGGTTTTGGACTCATTAAGTTAAAATTCAAACTACTTAAAGTAGATATAACATTACTTAAGTTAAGGGTTCGACTAATTAAGCTGGGCTATATACTTTCTGTTTTAAGATTTTTGACTACAGTATAAATTTCGACGAATTGTATTGAATGATAAAATGAATTTGTATTTAATTTGTTTAAATGAAATACTAACGTACCTGTTATTTAAATCTAATAATCGGTTTTGTTTCTAAGATTTATTCACAGTGTTAGCCAATTAAATGATAGAATTTCTTTGATAAAAATCGTATGCAAAAGAAAACTGATTAAATAGCTTTATTTTTTATATATATATAACTCATCCTGCATGGTCAATACCATAATGTGCAGACGCACATGCTGTTATTTCGCTATTTTTACATACATTAACATAATACAGGGGCATTATTAATGATTCTAGTACAAATCAAAGTTTTTCCTAAATCGGTACCTATAGTTATAGGTAAAAAATTTGTATAACCTTTTTTGAATTACAAGTGACATAGCGATCAATTGTATTAGTTGATGAGAATGGGTGACTGAGTCTTATTTCGATTATATAGATAAGGATGTTTGATCACCTCCTGTTTAGGGCTAAAGTCCTGTATGACTAACTGAATCATCTCTTAGTTATATATACCTGTATTTTTGACTGAAGTCTCTATTTAGTATACGGACAAGGATGTTTGACTGAAGTCTCTATTAAGTATACGTACAAGGATGTTTGATTGAAGTCTCTATTAAGGATGTTTGACTGATGTCTCTATTAAGTATACGGACAAGGATGTTTGACTTAATACTGTATTTGTTATATATATATAAGGATGTTTGACAGAAGTCCCTATTAGGAATATAAACCAGGATGAATCCTTTATTTGTCATTAAGTTGAGGATGGACTATTGTACTGTGCAATCCTTTATGATAAAGTGAACTATTGTACTGTTTCAGAAATTATCTACATGATGAACGCCTCAATCGCAGTCCTCTTTGCCTTGGTGGGCGTAGCCTGCGCCTCCTTCTATGGCGGCGGCGGCGGCGGCCAAGGTGGTACCATTATCGTATCAGGAGGCGGTGGCGGATATGGTAAAGGATTCGGTGGTTTTGGAAATGGCGGTGGCTTTGGCGGTGGCTTCGGAAATGGCGGTTATGGTAAAGGCTATGGCGGCGGTTTCATCCAGAGCGGATATGGTAAAGGCTACGGCGGTCAAGGCTACGGAGGTCAAGGCTATGGAGGTATGATTAGCAGTTATGGCGGTTATGGCAAAGGCTATGGCGGTCAGGGATACGGAAACATGTATGGTGGATACGGGGGAGGAAACGGAGGACTCATCATTGGAGGAGGAAAAGGCATGGGCTACGGAGGAGGACTCATCATTGGAGGTGGAAAAGGCATGGGCTACGGAGGAAACATGGGATATGGCGGATACGGAAAAGGAGGAAATGTTATCATCAGCAGCGGCAACGGATGGGGAAATGGTTATGGAAAGGGAGGCAACTGGGGAGGAAAAGGCGGATTCGTCGGATCCTCCTACGGAAAGGGATATGGTGGAAACATGATCGGAATCGGAGGCGGAGGATACGGAGGAATGGGTGGCGGATATGGAAATGTGGGATATGCATATCCATCATACGGTGGTGGTAAAGGATTCGGAGGCGGCATAAGGTTGGGAGGTCGTGGATTTGGCAAAGGAAGTACGTATGGTTCCCTGGCATCAGTAAAACTGAACATGCGGAAAGAATTATAGAAATAGAAAAGCATCCGTCTAAACGTTAATATTGATATCATACAGGAAAGGATAATTAATGCAAAACCTACTTCAACTAGCTTTTTGAACTGTATTGGTTGAATATTTTTTTATGTTTTATTATTATGATTAATTTATTAGTGATATCTTTCTACGATTAATCTTATGAGAGGTTTATTTTATTAGTTTACTAAGTTGAATATATCTATATTTGATAAGCATGATTAAATTATTAGAGATTTCATTTAAAAGGGTATTATGTTGAATATTTCTGTATTTGATTATCATGATGAATTTATTAGAGGTTTAATTTATGAGTACATTAATATGAAAACCAAGTCTCTATATTTAGAAGACTAAATGGTATTATGAGGATTCTTAGGCTATTCATTACTGATGATACATCTTGTTTCTTACAGAGGGAGGTCTCGTCTACTAAACAACTACTCGTCTCCTCAACTGAATAGTCCTGTTCCGTTTTTGTTATTTTTTATGTTTATGAATGATTAAAGCAGATTTGAAGAATGTCTATTACAAGTTATGCTTTTTTGTACTGTAAATCTGATATCATGCACGTTTACTGTAAAACATAAAGTAATTCATACATGATTCGTCAATACCAGAACGCTGGGTATGTGTACCCATTCTTTGGATATTAAACTACAAACAGGTGATTTCGAAATAGGCTTAAAACTCTAGGTATCTGAATGGCAGTCATAAGACGATAAAACACCGCGGTGTCAATATAACTGAGATTTGAACTCAAAATCGACGAAACTATAGCGAGAAAAGGATTTACACGAATACCTTAAGAAAAGGAAGGTGAAGAAGTATAAAAGCAGGTGTTCCAGGATAGGAAAAGTCTTCTGAGTCAGGCGGAACAGGCTGGGTCAAATCTGGGTCAAATCAAATTATTGCCGCGTTCTAAAAGAAATAACCGGGGATTTTATAATGAAAACACATGGTTTATTTACGAGCATAATGAAAAAAATGGGTGCTTTTTTAAAATAGATATTGATATCACAGAAGGTACATGGAGATGTTAAAAATAAAAATACATAAATTTAAATCATCATATTCTCAACACTATAGTATTATTGATTGGTTAAGTTCTGTAGCGGCCAAGTTGTTGGTCCGAGGCCTCGCCTCAGGCCAATGTAGCAGGCCAAGGACCAATAACTTGGCCAATACAGAAATAACCAATCAATAATGTCTTTATTAATTACCCAGATGACAATTAAAAAGGAAGTAATGACAATCGCAGCATTAATATAGAAGACATCTTGTTTATTTTTCAAGCATCTATAAAATATAAACAAAATAAAATAATTAAAGAGGAATACTACATACATAATGTATATACTGGGACATTTGCTGACATGTTCACCCTATTACTACAGTATTACCTATACAGTATTACCTATACATATAACTCTATAC